ATAGTGGGCCACTGACTACGTTAGGCAAGTTACATTAGCCATTTCCTTATCTGAAAAGCTATCAATAATAGCTTCTACCTTTGAGGCTCATATAGTATTAAATGACAGTGCCCAAAGACAAAGCAATTTTCACTTTGGCTCACGATGCAAGAGTTAGATGCTGTTATTCCTATGAATGTGCTGGCTTCCGAGAAGCTGTGTCCTCAACCCCGGCCCCCTGCCTGGATGAGCAGCCAGGCCTGTCCAGATGCGATGTGAAAGTCTTGGAGATGGGCTTCAGTGTGTGGAACAGCACCCTGGGAAACTCTCAGCCTGCTGCTGCTTTGGGGAAAGACTGACTCATAGAATTGGAGAATGTCCAGGGCTCCTGCCAGAGAGGCTTGAGAGAGAGGCGTGTGGGTCCAGAGGCTTCACAGAGTGGATACAGAGAGGGAGGTTGATGGGAGGAGGCCCTGAGCCGGTGCCTCTGGGAACCAGAGGTACGTGTCGTGCTCAGAGCCAGTGGGGACTCCTATCAGGAATCCACCTTCAGGGATGCTCTTTGCAGTCAGGGAGCGATATTTCTCTCAACAGAAGCGGCACTCCTGGGTCTTTCTTCTATCAGTCCAGCCCCCCTCAACTTTCCTGCAGGAAGGAGCTCTGGGCTCCAAAGCCCCCATCCAGGGTGGCTCAGACTAAATTGTGAAGAGGAGCAGCCATGGGCATGGGGCACTGGACACCCCATGCCTTTGTGAACGGTTCAACTCAACCCCACCTCAGTCTTTCTCACTGTTACGAATTTAAAGGGATAAAGTAGTCACTTTAAGGACTAGGCTGTCACCACTTCCTTTTAGTCCCCTCCTACCACTACTTTCCCCTTTTGTTCTCCTTTTTTGGCCTGTGGGCCAGATCAAGGCCTCCAGCGACTGGCCTGAATTTCTCTCTCTCCCCTGTCCTTGAACTTGTCTCCTGGACTATGCTCTGGGCAGCAGAACTTTACTGTGTATGTGCTGCTCTGGAAGCTGCCTCTTCCTCCTCCTGCCACCTGTCCCCTTGCACTCAGCTCTGTGCAGGTTCCTCCGCTGTCCCCCGTCCCCACAGTGCATGCTGGTGTTTCACAGCAGCACTTAAAACCCTTCAGCTCACGCCGTCATCGCTGGGGCCACTCAGCCCCCGTCTGGGGGTCTCCTTCAAACTTTTAAGTCCCTCTTGGGAAGGGACACGTTGTCAGTGACTCTTAGATTCTAAGTTTGTCTACAAAACAGAGGGAGGGCTGCCCACTCCACCCTAAAAATCAAGTTCTCCCAAGAGCAAGAATCTGGCTGCCCCTAGGACAGGGAAGGCCCAGAGGAGCCCCTGGATCCATGAGGGCTCCAAAGCAGGTGCTCCACAGGCCGGAGCCGCTCAGATGTGGCAATTTTATTAAAATGCCCATCACCAAGGATACAAGCAGAAGAAACTACAGGAAGGGGTATTAAAATAAACTCAGGGAAGGCTGGGGATATAGCTCAGTTGGTAGAGTGTTTGCCTCGCATGCACAAGGTTCAGTCCCCAGCACCACAAAAATAAAACCAAAAACCAGCAAATGAAAAATAAAGAGAATCCGATCCACAGAGACGGCTCTTTATCTTTCCACCCCTCTTCAGGGTAGATGAGAGGATGGCTTTGGGCTGGGAAGCAGCACAGCTGGTGGGGCGGGAACAACCCAAGCAAAGACCATCTCAAACTTCAACGCATCCTTGAGAGAAAGCAAAAAAGAAGCAGGTGCCAAGGGCACAGGTGGCCATTCTCCTGGCCTGCAACAAATTTTGACAAGCTGTCCATCCACCCCTTGCCCTGAATCCCATTCAATGTCTAAATCCTATGAATGTCATCTAAATGCCTCTTGTTCTGTGCTTGTCGTATGAGACGCCCCTTTCCAGGTAATCTTCTGTAACGTAATGTACTAAACCATCGCCACTTCCCTTCTCCAAGTGGGCAACAAAAAGCCCAGGCTGACTTCTCATGCTCGCCTCAGCTGCCCCACATCAGCAGCTTGCAGGGGGCCCTCACGCCCCTCTCCTCCCACCCCCACCCGGCCACACTGATCAGAACATGTCTGGGGGCAGCAGGTTCTTGTTTAATTAATAAACATCACCAGACATCATAACATGGGCATGCCGATGATTTCTAAGGCCCCCTACTCGTGATTATCTGACTCTGTCACCCCGTGAAGGAAGCCACCTTCATGTTACCAGAAATGGTTAGAGGGATTCCTTCCAACCATAAATGAAAAACCATAAGATTCCCTAGTTTGCGATCAAATGAGAACATTTCTTATTTTAGGTACCAACAGTTTCCTGGAAAATTCTGCATTTTTTGTCAGGAAAGTAACCAGACCTAGAATTCCCAAGAAACAACAGCTTCTGTAATTAGGATCAGGTCACAGTGCCCAGCACAGTCCTGAAAAAAGACAAGGCTCACACATGGTTTTTGAGACTGTAGGAAGCTGGATTTGAACTCCAAGGACTCACCCATCAGACCAACTGACAGTGGGGGAAATGTTCCCTATTAAACAAAACAACATAGAACTCAAGCTAACATGGAGTCTCCTTTTTTTTTTTTTTTTTTTTTTTTTTTTTTTTTTGGTTTTTGGTTTTGTGTCCTTGGCCTGTACAAGCATCTCGGTAGCTTTCTGTGATTGGATAGACTGCCTGTTAGGACACAGATACATGAGGGGCACTTCCCTCAACACCCTCCACAGGGGGCTTCTGTTTCTCTATTCCCTAGAATTCTCTTCAGTGTGCACACCAGAACCCACCAGCCCACGACAACACCCACTTCACAGGAGGGCAGTAGCCACCCTTTCTCAGTTGCCATGGGGATCACACAGCAGTGATGGTCTCTGGCCTCCGTTGTCCATGGTCTAGTGCAGACCCAGTGCTCCCAGCAGTGTTGGCCAATGACCAGTGTTTGAGGAACCAATGAACCATTATAACTTTAAGCTAAGTTTTTTGTTTTTAATTTTTCACAAAGAGTTCCAGAAGGCAAATAGTTCACCACTCCCCGACCCTGAAATAGCACAGCAAGACAGACAAAAGCAGGGTGCTGGGAGGTCAGCTCCTTCTTTAGGATTCCTAAAGCAGACCTAAGTGGCCCCAAAGCAAGGCCATGTGTGGGTCCTCTGCAAAGTGTGGGTGCTCAGACCACAGACAGCAGCAGCAACACTGCTCAGGTGGGACTTGTCTATCCAGAAGACCCCACCTTGGATCCAAGAGGAACCCAGACAGGGTTTATCCAAACTCCAGAGGGAGAGAGCAGGTGTCAGGGGCAGAAGCAAAGGCCTCTCTACTGAGGTCTCACATGAAAGCTAACAGCAAATGCCTTGGTTTATGACTAGAAAGGAGGAGGACACACACTGAGGTCAAAGCTCCTCTGGACTGCTGAAGAGAGGATTTTCCCCCCAGAAATGCTAGATCTGCGGTTTACAATGTTGACAAGAAAAGAAGGTTGCTTGGGATTCAGACCTGAGCAGAGAGAAGCAAAGACTGGGCTTACTGGGCCAGAACTTTATTCACAGTACAATAGTCTTAGACAAAAATTCTAAAATTTAAATCCAACATCTTTGAAAAACGAGAATTCTTAAACCCATCAGACCAGCTGATGGGGGGAAATGTTCCCTATTAAACAAAACAGCACAGAACTCAATCTTCTCCCACTCCCAATACCCCAGCCGCCCACCCCAGAAAAGGAAATCATTAAAGCCAGGCACACTCGCACACACTCGTCTATGCAAACAAAATACCAAAGACCCAGGGAAGCCTTAGGAATCGCCTAAGGATTTGTCACTAGCTCCCCGGATGCTCTTCCTACTTTTCTAGAAAAGAAGAGCCAAGCCCTGACAGCTGTCCGAGCAGGAGAAACTGGAGTGGGGACAAGACCCCTCTTCTCAGCCCCGTGGCTTCTTATTCAGTGGAGAAGAATATCAAGAGTAAGGCAGGAGGGAAGGTGATGGTGGAGGATGTCCTAGGTGTCCGAGGATGACAGACGGTGCAGCTGGACGGTCTTGAGTCCAACTCTGCATGTCACATAAAATCAGTCTATGGGGGCAGCAGAATGGAGTTTCAGGGACATCTTTTGAGAAAGGTTGTCTACCTGGAATTTTGGCTCTGAGAGCTTCCCTGGTCATTGGTCTAAATCTGCTGTCCAGTCCATCATTTCTGATCAACGTCTCTCCATATGTGGAGAATAATTTGCTTCTCAATGGTTAGAATACCCCAGCATCAGGCCTCCCGGCAAGAGACAGGCTGCTCAGGAGACTCAGATGGTTGACTCAGATGGTGTCTACGCTGGCCACTCCCAGGGGCGCAATGAAACCTTGCAACATCTGTTTCTCGGCCTCATCCTACAGACAATGTTTTCCCCACATTTTGTAAAATAAATAATTCAAAACAGAATGAAAAATCCAGGCAAGGACAATTGCTGGCCTGAAAATGTGCTCTGTCTCTCAACAGTGATTCATGAAATTCACCACCTGCAGCTCGTTCCCAAGCTAAGGGGTGGAGCTCAGGGTGTAAGGTGCTAGCTACAGCCACACGGGAAACCCAGGACAGGGCAGGAACACCCCAGCTCCCCCCACATATATTACATTTATCTTTATAAATATAGCTTCTTGACCTAAGTGGCCGCAATAGCAAAGGCCAAAGGTTGAGGTTTACCTTCCTCAAATGTCTACCAAATTATATCCACATGGCAAACTGGGAATTCCAGTCACCATAGATGGTCAAGGACCATGTCCCAGACAGACCCAATCACCCATCGCTACTGGATAATGAGGATAAGAATGTTAAAAATTCACTTTGTAATAAAGCTCATGACAGAATTTCTTTAAATAAAAGCCAGATTAATATGATTTTAAATGGTTTGATTTCCTCACTCAAAGGAAAAAAAACTTATTACGTACACAAATTTTCAAAGTCATAGAACTTACACTAATAAATGTAGTTTAGTTGACTTTGAGTTTTCAAGGTCACATCTATTACATAAAATGGACAGTCCAGACCATGAATGAGGTCTAGCTGATTTGGCTGTTTTGACTGCCCATTTAATAATGTGACAACTTGGTGATCCCATCCCTTGGACAAGACTCTGAGCCACCCCTGTTGCCTCCCTGTCATGGGCAGCAGTATCATATGACTACTGAGCAGAACTGGGCGTCTGAACTGAAGTGTAACTTGGCAGTTCCCATAAAACCTATCTTGTAGCCATCCTAGGGAATTTGGGTTTAATTTCCTTATTCCTCTCCACTTTCAGAAATAAATTCATTTTGATCAATTACATGGGATCACTTTAGTTAGATGAACTGATCACTAAAAAAAAAAAAAAAAAATGGATAGCACTTTAGAAAAACCAAACAGTGATGGACCCATGGGTGTCATACTCCCTGGGAGATTTCATAGCTCGTCCCTCGAAGGCACATTGTCCACAGAAGTTGGTGATGGCAGAGCCTCTGTGTTTTTGGCATTGCTGTGGATATGACCCTGCTTCCGGGACTTCCAGGAATGTGTCCTGTCCCAGTCGGTGGCCACGGTCTCATTGTCCCAGATGGTCGAGGTCTCTGTGTCACTCAGATACCCCGGCTGGCCTGTGTAGTGTGTGGGGTAGATAAGCAAGGGTTCTGCGGAGAAGGCTTTCAGGTCTCTGGATTCATAATACTCCTTGTACTCAGCTCTGAAAACAAGAGATTCACAGGTACATGAGGGGGTAGAAAACTTAGGGAACAGCGGGAAAGAATCGGGGGCCCTTGCTGCTGGGAGCCATTAGCCAAGTAGGTATGACAATTTCCTTGCCAGCGTACCCCATGTTGCTGACATTTTGCAGTGACATTGAATGTAGGTGACTTTGCTCAAGGACCAGGGCGGATTAGGGTGTTCCCGATTTACGATAATCGGGTTTAGGGCGTTCCCAGTTTAGGTTCCAGGTTTAAGGTTTAAGATTATTCCTGCTGGGAATAGGGCGTATCCTGCTGCCTGAGTTCCCCTTGAGATCTCACGGGATTCAGACAGTATATTTTTGGGAGATAGAAGCCCAGTGGAGGTGGATTTGGGCAGAGAACGTGGATTTCCCCAGAACGTGATTGTAGACGGCTGGTGTGAGTTCGGGAATAAAGAGTTGCTGTTTGAATCTACAAGCTGTGTGGTGGCTCATGATTGTGTGCCCAGCCAGACTGCGGCACCTTGCTAGTCATCTCTGAAACTACTAGGATTCATTTCATTATTTTTTAAAGTTGTGTTATTGTGGAAGACCTTGGGCTCCAAACACAATCCAGATTTCTTGAAAGCTTTCAGAAAATCTACACAAGCAAGCAAAAGGGTCAGGATATTTCTGTTGGAGTAATTTAAAGGAAGAGTTTCAGATCTTATTCTGAAAGTTAAAAATTAGGCTCTGTTGGACTTTAATGATAAACAAACATGACCATTTTACAAAAAATGCCCAGTTCCAGAGTTAAGACACCTGAGATCCAGCCAGCAGCGATAGGTAAGTGACATGGTGAAGCGTTGGATACATGCCAACTAGAATTTGCATTTGAGCTTCTTACAGCTGTTACAGCTGCCTTCAAGTCTAAAGTAGAGGGACAACTTGACCCCCTCCCAGGGCTCCTGTGCAGGTTACATGAGTTGACATCGGAACAGCTTCTTGGTCTGCAGTGCAATGGTAATTGAATAAGGATTGATGTCCCTTCTGTTTCTGCCAGGGCACACAGGTAAAGTCGGTCTCTCATATGCTAGATGAAAGAGTGAGGGGCTCCATTCTTCAGTGGATGGGAGACAAAGTGAACAGGATGCAGTCTGGGAAATTTCAACAGCTAAAATGAAGCCATCTAGTTGGAGATCACCCAGAAGCAGAGAAAGAACCAAAGTCAGAGACTGGTCTCCTGCTCCGTTCCTCAATTTAATAACCATCGATGGAGCCAGTTTTATGTGTAGTATTTAGGCTAAGCTCTAAGGATGCAGATGTGAGTGTTCCTGCCCTCAAAGGATTCACTGCTTATTTAGGAGACGACAGGTAAACCACTATCTGCCACACTTTCTGATCAGTGCTAGGTCAGAGTAAGCGTCTGGGCTGTGGGAATTCTGAGTATCACACCACCTTCTTCCATGGACACCCTACTCAGATGCCACCTCCACACCCCTGGACTTCTCACACACCTCTGTGACTTCAAAAATTACTATATATCAACAGGATTTGCTTATGAGTCCATGTTTCCAACCAGATTATGAACTCTGAAAGGATGGGTACCATTGCCCAGCCAATTGTGCAGACACAAAGTCAGCTGAATGAACTGAAAAAATTGGGGTGCTTCAAAGGGTAAGACCTTCATCTTAAAGTGTGTGAGGTTATGGAAGTAAGAAGGATAAAGACAAGTAAAATCTGAGCAGGCTATGATTCTACACACTGGACCACAGGGCAAAACACTCACCTTCTCTGCCTCATCTTACCCATCTGTTAAAGGGGGGTAGTGGCTTGAGTCAGTGTCTCCTGGTTATGGTTATAACCATAACCATAAGATCATTTAGGAAACCAGAAAGATAATTTGGGAAAGCAGTACCACTTTAGAAAGCATCAAGTTCTACCCAGAAAGTGTAATTTGTAAACAGGCTATGCCCAAGGGACAGGCAGGTAGTGGAAGGTACTCACACAGGATGCTTGTTGTACATGATTGGCAGAAATTCATCCACTGGCAGCATCTTCCCAAAAGGATTAGCTCCAACCAGCTTCTGTGCTCCTTCCAAAGAGATGACATAGCCCAGCGTCCAGTAGGAATAGTCCGCTTCGACCAGATTCCCCACGTTGGGCACCGCTTTCTCTGGCTCTTTTACTTGCATTCTCTTCCTACCAATGTAACTAAAAGGAAAGGAGAGGAGGAGAAAATTTCAACTTGAACATTAATAAGAATGAGCACCACTGTTAATGACATGCTAAAATAATAATATTTGGATATATTAGGTTAAATAAAATGTATTTTAAAAACTAATTTCACCTAATTTATTTTAACCTTTTAATGTGATTACTAGAAAATTTAAAACACCATATGGGGCTCACGTTATATTTTTATTGAAGAGAGCTTGCTCCCTAGGTGATTCCAACAACTTGGTCTATTATCTCATTCATCATTTCCTTTCTCTGTAAAAATTTAATGTAGCAACCATGGATAGATTAGTAGCATTTGTGTTTGGGCTTAACTGACATTTGTTTCTTCTTCATTTTAGAAAGTGAGAAGTAAAACTTGAAACTGTTGCAGGGTTTTTAAGACTATACAATATATTTTAATGAAACATTTTTACTGGATCCATCTGTGGATTTAGAATACTTTAAAATACTTCTTCCCCGTGTCCTTATCAGGACAGCCGTCACTCCCTGGATGTGTTGGTACTTTGTTCTGAGAAATGTGCCAACCAAAGTACCGGTGGACAGGGATGGACTCCAAGGATAAGCCTTGGATTTCCTGAGCTGAGTCTTCTGTGATTACGAGGCTTAAGTGGAAGCCACCTTCAGACATGTCACATGGCTCTGCACCCGAGAGGCCTCCACCCCAGGAGGCAGGCGCAGGTTCAAAAGGACTGAAGTGCAGAGACTTCTAGAGGATGTGAGAAGAACAGTGATCTCGAGGGACTGTGCAGCATGCCAAACGGAGTCACATGATAGACATCTGCCTGGGAGCTGGTGTCTTTATTGCATAGTGCTGATTTAGGGTCTATTTCCCATGAGTTAGTTGGGCCATTGCTGGGTTCCTTTTGAGCTCAGACTGGCCCATTTTCTGAGAGAACAGATATGGCACCTGGGTCTACGGTTAAGAGTCCCCCAGGCAGTGGGGGGGAACAGGGTCAGCTGGGCTGCTGCAGCTGCTCCAAGGATCAGGCTCTGACCTGATAAAGGGCCTGTGTCACGCAGCTGGGGAGCAAACTAAATGCTTGGGAATTTTCTGCCTCATTGGAGGGAAGTAGTAAGAGCTGTTTTGCTTTAAAAGAAAATGAGAGAAGAAAAAAAAAGAAAGAGAAAGGAAGGAAGGAAAGAGGGAGAGACAAGGAGGAGGAACAAAGGAATGAAGAGAGGGAGGGAAGGAGAGAGAGAGAGAAACTCAGTTGCTAACGGCTGTCCACAGGGAGCATGAACTCAGCCTCAGCTGGCAGCTGCCCTCCCTGGAGAGCCTGGTTCTCCTGCACTGACCTCAGAACCTCCCCAGCCCAGCGGTCATTGTTGTCCTTATTGGACAGCCTCCCCTGCTGAGCCTCCTCCTCGCACCCCATGGGGCTGCAGAGGGCTCACTCTCCCTGGAGCTGAGGTCTGACTATGCCATGCCTCTCCCCTCCAATGCCTGCCTCCTCTCCCTCTCCATACCCATTCACGAGCCCTGGACTTCATGGGTGAGATGTCCACTGTGTTCCCAAGTGGTGCTTGGTGCCACTCACGGCTGCTCTGTCAGAAGGATCTGCGGGCAGATTCCCATCTCATAGAGCATCTCCCATAGTGTCTCGTCCTGAAGGAGATGGGTGCAAAACCCAGGGGCTAACCTCCACCCACTTGTTGTATCTGCAAACATTTATGACGAGAAAACCAGGCACACTGAAGCTTGACTGTCTCTCCTACCAGCTGGGGAGGCAGGACATTCTGTCCCTTGGAAAGGACTGAGTGCCCTGCACGTTCTCTAATAAGCTTGTGTGTCACTCACATCAGTTCCCAGTCCAGCTCAGCCTGGTCAATGTCATCCATTAGCTTCATTAGCTTCTTCTTAAACTGATGCTCAAAGCGCACATCATCCTCGATTACGAGAGTCTTCTCCAGTTCCCGGTCAATTACCTACAAAGGTCATCAGCGAGGAGACACCCTGTGAAAAGTTTGACACTCACTTTTTATTAGATAAATAAGTATTGGAATAAGTATTGGAGAGTCAAGGGTATAGTAGCTCATAACTGGACTCTTAAGTAAATGTTCCTCTACAGAATAAAGGGTAAACTATGGTATATTCACAGCAGTGAGGAGGTCTGATCTGTAACTGAGTGCAATGTTACAGGCGAATCTCCCCAATACAATGTTGAGAGGCTTCACGGACTGTGAGATTTCATTCATATAAAAGAAAGTACAAAAAGAAGCAAAGCTGTGTCTTGCTCTTGGGAGTCAGGATGGTGATTACCCTTGGGGAGGGGACCAAGGGGAAGTACAGAGAGGGGCACTTCTGGAAAGCTGGTAACCTGTCTCTTGATCCAGATGTTGATTAATACAGGTGTGTTGTTCCGTTTGTGAGATTTATTCGAGCTGTATCTTTATATATATATATAATCTCGCATGTCATTAAAGTTTAAAGGAAAAAAAAAGACATGAACTAGACCATCAAATGAGAGAAGGTACTTTACTTTAAGATTCTTTATTTGGGGACTCCTTCTTTTCTTGCAGGAGCTGACCCTTATTTGGGAACCCCACACTCCAATCAAGAACTTGATCTGTAAGACCTGGGGTCAAGTTTCAGCTCTGCCTCCTCTTACCCAGTTGAGTTATTTAATAACTTCCTCTTGGGTAAAAGGTCTGTCCTCCTAACCCACCCGTGAGACTTCTGTGTGACTTCCTGTATCAAGTCACACAACCACTGCTAACATGACAGATGGGTACAGGCATTCCTGTTGGTAAGGAGAATGAACTAACAGGAGTAAGGCTCCCGGGATGTGGCTGTCTTCCCCTGTCAGTGTCCCAGGGGGCACCAGGGCTACTGGCCTTGGGCCACAGGGAGTCATAGGCAGGAGCAACCCACTGCCTTCCAGAAAAGTCACGGGCTCACTTGCCCTCTGGTCCTGATCCCCTCAACGTCCCATTCTTCTTTCTCCTCGTTACAAAGCTGCACCTCTAAATCAAGCATCATTTACCTCTTTCCAGACAGAGTAGTGACTAAGAAAGCAGCCGATCTCACCCCTGGTTAAAGGCCTGGAGGAGTAGGGGTCTCGGTAACCTGGCAGCATTTCAATGTTCAAGGCCTTCAGCTGGCTTGTGTTGAGAGCCCTGCAGGACAGAGAGTAAGGCTGAAAACACAGGTCGGGGCATCCTCACCCCGTGGCCCCCACAGAGAATCCCAGGGATTTCCCAGAGCCACTACACACAGAGAGAAGGACTTCTCAGTTTCCTGTTATTCTGTATGAGTTACTCAAGGTTAAAGTGTCACAGTGGCATCATGAGGTGTGTGGAGACCGAGATGGTGTCTCTCATTGTCATACACCACCGTGGTGCCCAACATGCTTCTAAGTATCTGAGGTTGTCTGAAAACTTTCCAAAAAGTGCTCTCTTGATGCAGGAAAAGTGGTTCCTAGGAGCATTCAGTACAGCCAGGAAGAAGAGAGGAAGGGTGGGGTTAGGAAGCGTGTGCCTCTGTGGGTCTTTCCTTTGGACCTAAAATTAAAACAATGTTGATGATAAAAATAAATAGGAATCATTTCCAAAATGGTAGTGTGCGGGACTCTGAAAATCCGCTCATCCATAAAAGTAATGAGGACACTGGTGAAAATTGTCACAGTCAGCTTTTCTAGAACTCTGAAAATTAGCTAAACAATTACAACAATCCAAGGAATAGTTATTTAAAAACAAACAAACAAAAACCCCTACGGAGTCTCTGTAAGCACAGTGAGCTGCGTGGAGCTAACTCCAGCCCTAAACCTCATCCCAGCCCTACAGAAGTCTCGAAAACCAGCGCCTCGCAACTATTTTATAGCTGTGAAAACAGCCACCTCCTAGCCACTGGAAGAGACAGGGTGGATTAGGACTCTCCTGAAGACCTGTCCCTGCAAAACAGTCCCTATTCAACCTCTCTGGCAGTCCCTGAAAAGCTCCTTTCTCAGACCTTGTCTCGATTTGACCTGACTCAGGTTCATTCTCTGTGAACAGTCCTCTCTGCAGAGTATGTCAAAAAACCACCAGTAGCAACCGCTCACGTTACAACGACCCAGGCAGCATGACCAGTGAAGGCGAAGGGAACACCTAAAGGAAACATTTTAAAGGAAAAACCAAGGAATAAGATGTCCATAGGGAGCTTTGAAAAGCTCCGGCATATTCTTTTTTTTAAAATATTCTTTTTAGTTGTCAATAGACCTTTTTTTTATCTATTTATATTCGGTGCTGAGAATTGAACCCAGGGCCTCACACGTGCTAGATAAGCTCTCTACCACTGAGCCCCAGCCCCAGCTCTCCAGCATATTCTTGAGAACTAGAAGATTCTAGATGTATTCAAGGGTGAGTACCCCCCCCTCCCAAAAAAAAGACCTGAGAGGAACCTGATAAGACCTCTGGCTGACCTTGAGGACCTGGGGGAAAAGGTGGTAAAGGCAAATGGGCTGAACACCGCATTCAGAGACAGAGATCAAGTTTAAAAACATCCAACTATGTGCTGTCTACAAGAGACATAATTTAGATATAAAAAACTCAAATAGATTGAAAGTAAAAGGAGGAAAAAGATAGACTGTATCTTATTATTTCACAATACCAAATAGTAACCACAAGAGAGCTGGAGGAGCTACGTTAACATCAGATAAAATAAGGCTCTAGAGAAAATTTCTACTAGACACAAAGGCAGATGATAAAATCCATCAGGAAGTTAAAACAATTATAAATACATATGTACTTAATGCAGATTCCCCAAACACAGAGTGGAATCTAGCAGAACTGAAAGGAGAAATAGACGATGCAACATTCATAGTGGGAGACTGTAATATCCTGCCTTCGACACTGGACAGAAGAACTAGGTTAGAGAACAAAGAAATAGGAGACTTGAATAGCATATGAAGCAACTGGACCTGAGAGACATCTGTAGAACACTCTGTTCACAAGAGCAAAATACCATTGTTTCAAGTGCACTTGGAACATTCTTTAAGAGAGATCATATGTTAGGCCATAGGGACCATATAGACCATAAATCAAGCCTTGGTATACTTAAAAAGGACTGAAATCATACTAGGTATGTTCTCCAATTACAATGGAATGAAATTAAAAATCACAAACAAAGGAAATTTGGGGAATTCATAAATCTGTGAAATTAACACATTCCTAAACAATCACTCCATTAACTTAATGGAGAAAGCATAATGAAAATTAGAAAATATTTTGAAATAGAAAAAACATAGTATACCCAAACTGACCATGTATGACTTCCGTCTATTAATATGCTACATTACTTTGACAGACTTTCACATATTAAACCAAGCATGCAATTCAGGAATAAATTTCATTTGATTGTGCTGTATAATCCTTTTTGTATGTTGCTGGGTTCTATTTGCCGTTTTCTTGAAGGTTTTTGCATCTGTATTAATAAGAGATAGTGGTCCGTAGTTTTCTTTCAATGTCTTTGGTTTTGTATTAGAACAATACTGGCTTCATAGAATCATCTGGGGTACGTTCCCTCCTGTTCTGTTTTTGAAGAGTTTGTTAAGCGTTAGTATTAATTCTTCTTTAAATATCTGGCAGAATTTTCCAGTGAAGCCATCTGGTTGTGGACTTTTCTTTGTGGGAATTTTTTGATTACTAACTCGCCTTCTTTACTTGCTATATGTTTATTCAGAATTTCTACTTTTTCCTTGGGTCGATTTCAGTAGTTTACATCTTTCTGTCAATTCATCCATTTCATGGAAGTTATCTAATTTTAGCCAATGATTGTTCATAGTATAATCCTTTTTACTTTTGTAGGATCTGTAGGAATGTCCCCTCTTCTGTTTTTTATTTTAATCATTTGATTCTAGTCATTTTTTAAATTCATCAACCTACGTAAAGTATTTTTTGATCTTATCCAATAACCATTCTTGGACATTCTCTATTATTTCTCTGTTCTTTCATTAATTTATTTCAATTGTAGTCTTCATTATGTTCTTTTCCTACTTGATTTGAGGTTAGTTTGCTTTTGTTCTTGTAGTTTCTTAAAGCGGTTGGTTAGATTATCTATTTGAGATCATCTGTTTTTAACATAGGCATTCATAGCTGCAGCTCCCCCCTGGAAATCCTGTTACATGTTTTGGCACACTGTGTGTCATCTCAACAGCACAGAAAAAAGCATTTGACAAAATCCAACATTACTTTCATGATAAAAATACTTCACAAAATAGGAATAAAAGGCAACTTCCCCAACTCCAGGCCTTCTGTGAAAAACCCACAGCAAACATCATACTTAATGGGGAAAGTCTAGTTGCTTTCTTTTGAACACAAGGATGCTTAAACACTGAACCATATCCTCAGCTCCCCACCTTTTATACACATTTTATTTAGAGACAGGGTCTTGCTGAGTTGTAAAGGACCTCACTAAGTTGCTGAGGCTGGCTTTGAACTCAATCCTCTTGTCTCAGCCTCCCAAACCACTGGAATTACAGGTGCATGCCATTGCACCTGGCATAGATGCTTTTCTTAAGATCTGGAACTAGATAAGAATGTCTTCTTTCACTTTATTCAATATTGTACCTGAGGATCTAGCCAGGGTCGTAGGTGAGACAAAGAAATAAATGTATTCGGATTGGAAAAGATAAAGTAACACTATTTCTAATTGCAAATGACACTATCTTGCACACACAAAAAAGTCCTAAGGAATGTGTGCCTGCACACACTATTCAGCAAGGTTGCAGGATACATGATCAATGTACACAAATCAATCATGTTTCTATATATCTAACTCTGAAAATGAAATTACAGAAACAATTCTCTTACCATAATATAAAAGATATTATTTAAGAATAAATTTCACAAAATAAATGCAAGACTTATAAAGTAAAAGTAATGAAACATCATTCAAGGAATTACAGAAGATCTACAAAAATGAAAAGACATGCTGTGATTATCAATCATAAGACTTCATGTTGTTAAGATAGCAATACTCCCCAAACTGAGCTACAGATTCGATGTGATTCCTATCAAAATCCAAGCTGCCTGACTTTGTGTGTATGCAAGTTGACAAGATAGTCCTGAAATTCATAGGGAAATGCAAGGGACCCAGAATAGCTCAAACAATCTTAAAAAAAGAATGCAAAGTTGAGGGACAAATATTTTCTTACATACATTGCCACAGTCAACAAGCCAATACAGCACAGGCATAAGGACAGATCTATCAATTAATTGGATGGAATTAAGAGTTCAGAAATAGACCTTTACATATATGGTCAATTAATCTTTAACAAGGGTGCCAGAAAATTCAGTGGGGGAGATAACAGTCTTTTTACAAATGATACAAGGACTCCTAGATATCCATATACAAAAGAATAAATTTGGACCCCTACCTCACAGCATATATAAAAATTATATCTCAATAGATCAAAGACCTAAATGTAAGGGATAAAACTACAGAAATATTAGTAGAAAACAAAATATTAAGTCTTCATGGCTTTGGGTTTGAATTTGAATTCTTAGATATGATACCCAAAGCACAAGCAACAAGAACAACAACAACAAATTGGATTTAATCAAAATTAAAAAACTTCTTTTTCTGCTTTAATGGTGTCGTCATGAAACTGTGACGATTCACAAACTGGGAGAAAATATTTGCAAATTATAGATCTGGTAAGGGACTTGTATTCAAAACACATAAAGAATTCTCATGGCTCAACTAGTTTCCCTGGTCCCTAAAGGGGTCAGGGGTTTGGGGAGGTGTTTAAAAACAGTGGTTCCCAAACTCACCCAAGAATAGAGCTACTGGATTTAGCAAGCAAAAGCACAGAAATAGCAATCGAATTTAAATTGCAAATAAACAATGAAAATTTGTTTTTGGTATAGCTAAGTCCCATGTAATGTTTGGGACAAAATTCAACCGAATATCCAGTATTTCATATGGCAACTCTCCCCAAGAATTATTTTGAGGCTTCTTACAGGCAGTTCCTGGGTCCACCCCTCGAGATCACGATTTAACAAGTCTGAAAAGAAAAGCAATGTGGTGTCCTGGTAACCATCGCTGGGACTATCTGGGGGAGTCACCTTGAGAAACTCTGATGAGATTCTCTACGGGAGTCATAAGAACTTGAGCAGCTGCTAGCCACACCCGTTAGTTGGCACTATGTAAACAGAGAACAATGCCACTCATATTCTTAACCAGCATCTAACAGGGAAACTCATGTTTTGCAAAAATCTGTGCCTTGAAATAGTTTGGGGTGGCAAAAAAAAAATGGCAAAGCAAAGCAAAACAGCAGCAAAAGAATCCAACTGAGTTTCTCTGTGTGATTTTCCTGCCATATTCCGAGGAAATATGGCCACTCTGGTCATCGCAGGTGGGCTGTGGCATGTGCCTCACACTATAGGACATGGAGACCTTTATGTGGTTTTCTGCTTACTTTCTTCAAGTCTAGACACCTCAAGTTGACATTCCTTCTTCTGTCACAACACAGAAAGCTGGGAACCACCAGGGCTATTGCAAGAATGGTCAGAGACAGGGGACAATCAAGTCCAATGTGAGTCTTCAGTGTCATGCAGACCAAAGGTCACCAGTTGGGAAGTGGACCTCAGGCCTGTCCTACATGGTGAAAGTAATTTCAGTGCTACCTAATGGCATCTGTGCAATGTGTCCCTCCCTAACGACCAGGACACTTGAAGCCTCAGACAGGACTAACTCCCTGTCAGAGAAGACACCTCCCCTCTCCAACCACATCTGCGCAGGGAGTCAAGCCCCACTCACTTCCCATCCACCGCTTCAACTATCTTGACCGAGATCTCCTGTTCATAGAGCGTGCGCAGCATCCGGTCCCGCCTGTCCTTTCTGCGTTTGAGGTTGATCATGAAAATCTAATGCAGGAAGCAAAAGGGGGGAAATAAAAACAACCATAAATGACCCCATCTTATTTCAAGCTGTTTGAAAAGTTTAGCAAATGTTAGGGTCAAAGTTTAAGGTAGGACAAGGAAAGGACAGGAAAACTACTGTGAAGATTTGCTTTTAAAAAACATTTTATAGGGCTGGGATAGTGGCTCAGTGGCAGAGCGCTTGCCTAGCATGTGTGAGATACTGGGTTCAATTCTCAGAACCACATAAAAATAAGTGAATAAAATAAAGAGCCATCAACAGCTAAAAAGAAATTTAAAAAACAAAAATATTTTATAGAAGAAAAAATGAGCTACTTTCAAAATATTATCATTGGTAGTGACTTAACTCTTTGTTCCTCTGATATTCACTGATAAACATGTTCTCTCTACTGTTGAGAAAGCTCAAAAAGTTATTCTTCATGAGGCCAAAGATGAATTAAACCCAATACAGCCCTGAGGGGTAGGAAGCCTCGTGCCAGGTGGTCAAATTGATAGGCAGTCTCAGGGTAGGTCTTGTTACTTGCTGAGGGTTTGCCTTGGGTCAGTTTCTGTGTCAGTATCCTCATCTGTGAAATGGGATAATAATGGTCCCACCTCACCAGTAATACACAGATAAATCCACTGGATAAATTTGACATCATTCAAAAAAATAAGAAAAATCTAAAGTCTTCCTATGCTGCTTTTATTTCCAAAGGTCCCAAAATGAATTATCGAAGCCTCTATTTTAGTAGCTTCCTTGCCAGAATTCTCCAACTCCCATAGAAACTAAGGTATAAACTAAAGAAAAGGAGCCCTGTTCTTGGGGGTGGTTCTTGGATAAAGGAGGGAAGGAAAGACCCAATTTTGACACTAAGTGGAAATGCTATTATTCCAGAAAATATGGGAGAAAATACAGGAAAAAATATGGAAAATTATGGCAATGGAAAGAGACAAACGGCCCTTGGAGGTGCAGAAGAGCAAGGCTTATTCACACACATGTACATATGTGTACATGCACAGTGCAGGCTCAGCAGAATCTTCTCCAAAGGCTGAGCACAGCCCTTTGTTCTCAGTGTCTTTTCTACAGTACAGACTTGCAGGTTCCAAGATGGTTCCATGCAAGTAGCTTTCATCCCTTCCCTTTTCTCCAGGCAGCTCTGGTTCCTGCCCCAGCTGCTGAGCAAGTGTGATCACAGAAACAGAAACTAGCAGGTTGCAGCTATTAACAGAGACAAAACAAAGCATCTTGGGCAGGAGTTGCAGCTTCACTGTGGAAAGGACACCTTTGGGTCTGTGACGTAAGGTAGAATGGAGTACAGATCCTCCCCCACGAGGGCTGTGTCCTCCTCCTCACCTTGGCCTGGGAATCCCCAAGGGCTGCATGACTAATACACAAAAGGCTGCTCTAAGGAATCACAGGCAATGAGGCTCTCCTGGCTATTCCAGATTTAAGGAACCACAGAAAAACCTAAAGCCTTGTGACTGTGATCACAGGCAAGTAGCATTTTAATAAGATCTTCTTGCTAGAAGCAGTAAAAATTGATTTTCAATGTTCAATTAGCCCTCCAAAGTGGGAAGACTTTAGCAGTCAGCAAGAAATGATCTTGACGCAAAACACAGTGAGGGAGAAACCTACAGGAATAAGTCAGAGGATGCTGACTTCATCCCAATGAAACACCCGTATGACTTCTATAACATCTGTATGCCTCTATGAAAAGAGGGAGCTGATAGAGGATAGGAAAGGCAGCAGAATACAACAGACACTAGTATGGCAATATGTAAATCAATGGATGTGTAACTGATGTGATTCTGCAATCTGTATACGGGGTAAAAATGGGAGTTCATAACCCACTTGAATCAAAGTGTGAAATATGATATATCAAGAACTATGTAATGTTTTGAACAACCAACAATAAAAATTAAAAAAAATAATAATAAAAAAGAAAAAAAAAGAAAAGAGGGAGCTGAGGGCCTGGAGTTGTGGCTCAGCGGTAGAGCACTTGCCTTGCATGTGTGAGACTCTGTGTTTGATCCTCAGCACCACATAAAAATAAATAAGTGAAATAAAGGTACTGTGTCCAACTACGACTAAAAAATAAATATTAAAAAAAGGAAGTTGAGTAAACTCATCTCTCAAAAAATCTCATATGAGTAAACACTTCTATTTGGGGCTTATAATAAATTTTGCTTTATACTGTGATCAAAATAAAAAAGAAATTATGTCTTATAACCAAGCTTAAGTTTAGAATAAACTGCATTAAGCTTTGGTTCAATGATCATTCTGAATGTAATCATAAATATATTGTCTATTTTACTAGGATCAAAAGCTACATTGAATAAAATTTTAACCTTTCCCTGCAACATATTCTCACTTCTATTTGTTTACAAATCCCTGGGCAAAGAAACTGAGGAGAGCAACATGTTCTCTTAGAAAATTATCCACCTAATGCAGGGCAAAGCAGATTGAGTGCATCATGATTTTTTATTACCTCCTTTGTTTACTTAGCTGGATAATTATTTTTTATAAAAAATAATTTCGGTGGTGCCTCTATTTGCCTTATTACTTGGGACTTTATAACCTCATGAGTTGTGTTCTTTAATGTTTCATTTTCAACCTGGTGAGAATCACGGTCATGAGCCGTGCTCCATCCCCCAGTTTTACAGACATGGAAAGGAAAGGGCATTTCCTCTTGTACAAGCATGGGGCCACCTGGGCTCGCTCCAGGAAAACAGAAACAGGACAAAACAGGGGAAAAACATGCATTTAAATAGTCCCCTCAAACCAGAGACCTTCAGTCTGGAGGCCTTTAGTCAATAACAGTCCAAGTGCAATAAAGACGTGTCCCTGCTGGGGCAAGTGCAATAAAAATGGTGGCCATGAAGGAAAAACAGACTGCTCGCTCGTACTTAGTAAAGAATAAACAGAGAAAAGGGCCGGGCAGCCAAATGGAGCCCAGACACCACTGATGAGGTCACAGGACCAGGACTGAAAAGGCTCTGAAAATACCTTCCCACGTCCCAGCCTCAGGAAAGTAGAGCCTCCGAGTGTGTCACTTCCTGGAGTGGCATTTTCCAGAGGGACCCTAAGAGTGACCCAGTTCTAACACCTTGTCCTGCCAAAAGAGAACCAGAGTGAGATCTTGTTTTGGCCCATTTTATTTGTCCTTATAGAAGGACAGTTTGGGTCCTTACAGAAATGTGATTTTAGGAGGAAAAATGAATTATGTAAAGACACTGGTAAGGGTCACAGGAAAGGAAGGCTCCAGTACCACGCAGAAGCAGGGCCAGCGTGTGAGGTGGAACAAGTTTTTCTGCAGCCCCGGTCATTTTTGAAAACTATCTACAACTGGGTCTAGTCCTATTTCACTACACTTAAATCCATCTCTTTTCATTCTGCCCTTCGTGGAAGTAGCAGAATGTTGCTTCCTCTTTGCATTTGGAATTCATGAAACATTCATTCCCATTCCTGAAGACTAGCTCTGAATCAATTTTATGGAAGAAATCCCAATTCTCAGTGCCAGCAGGAGGACCTACTTTGGGAACACACATGTATGTTACATGTATGTGCACATGTGTACATATGTGTACATGTTACAGTGCAGTATGACATTTCCCTCTGTTGAGCAGCACAGAGCATGATGTTGACCAATAAGCATATCCAGAATTCATGGAAGAATCTGTCTCAGTTCGTGGATTTTTGAGAAGCTGTCCCAGCTTCTAGACTCCTCCTGAATGACAGAAGCCATGCAAGAGACTCATGAAGGAGTCAGTGACATGGAGTCACAGTGCTGGCCTTGTCAAACGTCTTTTGTGCATATTGCCAATAGAGGCACCTCTGTATCTTCTCTTTCTCTCCCTCTCTGTCTCTCTCTCTCCTTCTCTGTCTCTCTCTCTGTTCTTATGGTGCTGGGTATTGAACCCAGAGCCTCACTGCTGTACCACTGAGCTGCACACCCCCCTAGTCCTAACTTATTCTTTTCACAGAATGTTGTTTTGAAGTTCTTGCCTGTGGAAAGGCAGAATTTTAGAACAAGTTTCCTCTCTCCTTCTCTGTCCTCTCAATTCTGTCCTCCATCCTTTTTCCATGGAAGAAGGACAGACAGAAAATAAAGTGTTCCAGAATAGTTTCCACTCACTCATCTATGGCAGAGTGAAGTGAATGTCCTCCTATGGCTAAACCATATGTCCTCTTCACCTTACCCTTGAACCTCGGTAAGACGGTTGATAAAACATGGTGAATTCACTTTCACTACTAGTTACTTCTTTCTGACTGAACGATCAACTCACTTTACCACAGTCCTCCTTTTGGAGGAAGAATGGGGCATAACAAAAACTCAGTACTTTCCCCAAGCCCTCAGCCCCTCAGGCTGGGACATCATCTCTGTCTGGAACAAGCGTGGGAGGGTGGGAAGGTATTTTCAGCCCAGCCTGCTGGCCCTCAGACACACACTCAGCTGTGTTCCAGCATACAAACATTTGCACCCATGCACACACACAGAGACACTTTCCTACCTCATCAAATCCCATCTTGTCTGGATATTTAGGGACAACTGACACAAACTGGGAGGGTTCCATGGGAGGACGGTCAACTGGAAGACACAAGAAACACATGGAGTGCTTTGTTAGGAAAAGGGTCAGAAAACAGAATTCCATCTGCCCACCTGATCACCAGGGCTGGAATCACCCTGGACACCCAGGGCAGGGGACAACCACTCAGCAGTTCTCCAGGAAGCCTGAGGGTCAGGCACTGGTTGTGAGGGCGCTTGTGCATATGCAAATTGCAGTATCTGCTCCACATCCCTGAAGACTTACTTTAATTGGGTTTGGAGGCAGGTTAGCATAATGGCCAAGAGAGAGGGTTCTGGAGTCAGATGATCCAGCCAGTGAGGGCCTAGGAGAGTTATGAGACCTCTCTAAGCCTGTTTCTTCACATGCAAAATTGGGATAACAAATGTATCTCTTGCTGGATTGTAAAATTTAAATAGATCTGCATGCAAAGCATGACCACAATAATGTAATAAATTCTCTTAACTATTTTACCTACTGTGGCCCATGGCGAAAGAGCTCAGAAATAGGTTAGTTTTATCCTCCCTGAAGAATGTTCTTTTTCTGTACATTTTTTAAAATTGTCAAAGCCTAGGACTACTTTTATCCCATCCAGGCAGGGGCAGCTACAGGTGTACAGAAGGGCTTCTGTTTTAACTCCATCTCGCCTCAAAGGGCCGGCCCACCTCTCAGGCTGGGTACAGAGATGATGGAAGATTATTGACCCTCAGAAAAGCCTTCTTATATGCTATATGCTTTAATGGTTTAGAGGAAATGGTTGAGAAGGTCTTGAAGATTTTTTGGTCTTGTACAAATTCAAAGCACTAATTTGATTTTTCTTAAAGAGATAAAGAAAATTTGAAATGAGAGCTGATCACTGGGTTGTTTAAAGATCTGTGAGTGATGTCCATCACTACTCTCATCAACACCCTCTCTCCTCTCTTCTGGGCACATGAAATGAATACACTTTCTTGCCCATGAAGTTAGTCAGGGCCATGTGACTTCCTGAGGAGGTTTGGATGACAGCTGCTTGGCTTGGCTCTCCAAATCCTCCTCCCTGTCCCATCCCAGTGTCACCAGGGATGGCAGCAGCATGTGTTAAGACAGAGAAGGCACAGATCTGCAGAGCCTGGATTGTTCCACACCTGGAGAGCAGCTGCCCAGGAAGACAGGAGGACTGCGACTCTGATGAGCAGAAAATGAGCCACCATTGCTTGAAGTCAAAGAGATATGGGCACAGTTTGGCAGCCCAGCACAAGTCTGCCCTTCTTGAGATACTGCGCAAAGGGTCTGATCTGCTTAACTTACCCTTCACCGAGGTACTAAGAGAAACCATGGCCAGTTTCACTTAGGATCAAATCATGTGAAATTCTAGAAGGCAGTGAGACAGCTTTCCTTGGCCAAACACAGGAGTTGGTCTCATCACTTCAAACCTGACCCTGACAGTCACATTTCTGGGGGTCCATGGCAGGTGTATTATTCTTTCCAACAGCAGCTCAGAATAGCTTGATCCTTTCTGCTCCACTACTACTTATCAGTTTCCTTCAAAATCAACATGCAGGGTCCAAATGTACAGGGTTAGGTTTTGAAGAGAAAGAAACTTAATGTTACAACCCCTTCCTATTGGTCATGCTGTGGAAATGGTCTAAGTCTTCCTCCTTGGCCTTAGACCTGAGTTATACTTTATATTACCCTTTCTAGGCGACTAGTCTCCGGTTGGCACTCACTGGCTTCAGGCTGCTTCCAGTCACTTTCTTACCATCAAATATGGGCATCAAATACGGACATTCACAGGACAAGTATTCCACAAAAGCTGTAAGTGGCTGTTGGGGGAAAAAAAAAAAAAGGGTGTGCCTGGATTTCATCAATGATGGTGGCACTAAAACCATAGGGAGACACAGGACTTGATCCAAAGAATCAGACCTAAGAAACTTACTAAAGGGAGAGCAGGATGTGTCTTTGCTGACATCACACTTGAAGGTTAGTAGGTCCCAGCTTTTGTTGTGGTCATTTCTGACTCCATCATTCATAGCTTATTCAACTTGACATTGAATTCCTTCCTGGAAGTAGTGCCTCCTATACCACCACTTAGGACAATGGACTTCACTGGCTTTCGGATAGTTTCAAGATCCAGGACTAAATAATTAGAGCTGCCATTATGGAGATCGTATGGCTCTCTGGGATCTGGGATGCCCTCTTGACATGTACAGTAATCACATTCAGCTAATCTTCACATGTCCTATGTGACAGGTACGAGTCTCTATTTTTACAGTTAAGGAAACAAAAGCTTAAATAACTTGCCCGAGGTCACAGGGCTCATAGAGTTGGTATCTGAACAAAGAAATGACTCTTGCACTTGAGCTCTTAACCCCCACTCCACATTAATCCTTGGTGGCCACAGTTCTATGCTTATAGCTGTTCATTTAGACCAGTCTTGTCTGGAAAAGTACCTCAGAGATCGCACCTGGTCAAATCCTAACACTTCTTTCTAGTTTCTCCTGAACTTCATCCATGCTGTGGTCCTCCCAGCTCAGGGCCTTGACCATATTTTTCAAACATACTCTCAGGCCTGCCTATCCTGACTCATTATGCACACAGTTGTCAAAATAATCTTCCTCAAGTACAAATTTTGTTCTTGGACTTAACAATTACTTAAGTGCTTTATGGTTTGAGTGTTTTCATAGCTACCATGTAATTTTATCTATACTCTTTGGTGGTGGTTGTTTGTTTGTATAGGTAAACAAAGGGAGACCAATACAGATATGAACTTGCCCAAGGTTAGATAGTGAGTGATTAGCAGAGCTGGAACTCAATTTTAGACCATCCAACTTCAGATCCAATAATCTTAGTAAGCTTAATGTGATGATCTGTTGTCTCAAGATTTTGGTACTGAGAATGGGTACCTGAGATTTCTTATTGTTTCATGCTGTGATTTGCAGGAACAGTCTCTGTGCCTCATAATCCATTCACATCTATCCCCTCTACAAGATCTAGCCTCCTGCCAGTCTTCTCCCAAATTCTCCGAACAACTCCTAATGTACTAATTAGGAGCTAGTTACATGTACTAGTTAGTACAGGCAAAGAGGTAGGCACTGTGTTTTTAACAGGTGTTAGTTGTTGTAATAACCCATTCCCACATCACTCAAACCCTTTCGATCTGATCTCTGAGACTGTAGTCTATAAAACTCCCTGAGCATTTCCTTGTACAGACCCTGAGTTCCCTTCCACTGATCTCGCCTGGCAAGACCCTGGGCCCACGTGAGGCAGCACCTCAGGAGGGGAGGCCCCAGCTGGGGAGTGCTGGATCCTCATGAAACCCCATCACCACATACTCAGGATACACTGTGCTGACCAGGTCACTTCAAAGTTACAATGACAGATGCTGAATTGGCAAATGATGCGAATATACTTCTACAGAAAATTTACTCTCCCAGTCTCTGAGAGATCTATTTTATACCTTGAACCTCCTCAAATCTCCAACAGCTCTCTAGCTCATGACTGCACAATTACCAAGAGAATTCAGAGTCAATTAGATCTGCCTTTTCGTTCCACCTCAAGTCCACACACGAAATTGCAAGTGCACCTGTGCATTTCACCTTCCCATTTGAGGCAGGGGATGAAGCATCCTTGTGTCTACTTGTGCTGTCTCGAGTTACAGCTCCTTGCTTTCTTAGGCACTTCCACCTTGTGATGATCTCCTCTTCGGCACCATCAAGCTTCCCTTCTATCTTGGACCCTTCTCAGTAGCATACAAACATGCTGTGCTATCCCCACATAACACAACAAATATCACAAAGAAACCAAACCAAAAAGCAAAGCAAAACAAACAACAACAATATACTCTCACCTCCTAGCAGCCCCAACCCATTTCTCTATTCTTATCCGTTATGGTATGGATATGAGGCATTCCCTTAAAGTTCCTGGATTGATGCAAGAATATTCAGAGGGTTAAAATGATTGGATTGTGAGAGCTATAACACACTCAGCCCATCCTAGTTTGAATGAACTGAGTGGGTGGTAACTGTATGCATAGGGGGCATGACCAGAAGGGGTGGGTCACTGGGGACTTCCCTGGGAGGGCTCAAGTTCCCTATTCTCCCACCTCCTGACCCCACCATGAGCTGAGCAGTGCTCCTCTGCTGGAACCTTCCCTCCTAATGTGCTGCCTCCCTTGGGCCACAGCAATGGAGTGGGCTGTCTATGGACTGAGACCTCCGAAACCCTGAGCCCCCAATAAACCTTCCCTCCTCTGCGTTGTTCTTGTATTTAGGTGTTTAGGTCACAGCAATGCAAAAGCTGACTAACATGCCATCCAGGCAAGATCCCTGCTTCTCACCTTTCTGTCTTCTCTTCGGCCGGCTCCAGTGGCTCTCATCTCCATCACTGCCCTGAAGAGGCTCCTGTCAAGCTCCACACAACCCTCTACCTTGACAGAAGCCATGATCCGTTCTTTGTCCTTTTCCTTGACTGCTCAGCAGCATTTGGCTCTGTCTTGATCACTCCTGAGTTCCTTCCCAGCTTTCTGGCGGTTTGTCTTTCCCACTCCCCCGGGATCTGTCCTTCTTCTATGTTCTTTTACTATAGGAGTGTGCACTGTTTCATGCCTTCAAATTCCTTCCTGTGTTGATGATTCTCGGAAGTCCACCTCTAGATGGAACCTCTTCCCTCGGTCCCAGAGTCACATAGCCAACTACCTTCTGACTTCCCTACATGGGTACCTAGTACATATCTTAAGCTCACATGACCAACACTTCCCTCCCCAAGTCTTTCCCATCTCAGGCCCAAACCCTGGAGTCATTCTTCACTCTTTATGTCCTACCTAGACTGCACCCAGGCCTCTAAGTCCGAAGGGCTCTACCACCAAAATATCTTAAATCTGTCTTTTCTCATCATGCAGCTCAGATCTCAGCCAGGATCATCTCCCTCTACCCAGCTCCTCATTCTCAACCATGCTGGTCTTTTGTCCCTGGAACCCACCAGCTTTCCCCTAACGGCCCTTAGAGGTGCTGTGCTTTCTGCTTGGAACACTGTTCCCCCAAATACTCATGTGGCTGCTTCCTTAATGCCTTGTCTATCTCTCCCAGTTAGAAGATAAGTTCCTCAGTAGCGAGACTTCTGCCTGATTTGTTCACTGCTGTATATACCCCAGAATCTTGAGCAATTATGGACTCAAGTATGTGTCAAATAGATACTTACAGCTTTTTAAAAATTATTTTTATTTATTTTTTTACTTGTTGATAAACCTTTATTTTATGTGTATACTGTGCTGAGAACCGAGCCCAGTGCCTCACACATGCCAGACAAGTGAGCTGCCACTGAGCCACAGCCACAGCAGATACTTATAGTTTGACCCGGTCTTCCAAAACTTTCACTGGCCCTATAGGACAGGCTTTCTGCCTCAACAATTAAGACACGGCCATCTTTCAAGCTTTATTTCCTTCTACTGTTTTAAGTCAACTTTTCCAGAGGAAATGCTTTGGCTGATCACTGTTCCCTGTGCCCTGAGGGTCCTCACTATATTCCTCATTCTCAACCATATTCCTGTTTAAATGCCACGCTCCTATCCAAGCTCAGCTTAAGAACCACCAGGAGCCAGCGTAAAGGTTCACACCTGTAATCCCAGTGGCTGGGTTATGCATTACAGTTTTGGATTCCATATTTGTTCACAAAAAAATGCACGTTCTAATGCTCCAATGAGTGTAGTCTAATAACACTGCCAGCAGCCGTTTTCGCTGCCCATTTGGTTCCAAACACTGTGCAAAGTGCTTTCAATGTTTAGTTCATCTTTCCTTAGAGGAGAACACTTGATAGGTATGATTTCGTCATTACCAACATTTTATTCACCACCTTGGGTCTTTGGCCCATATTTCTGCATGATAACCCTCAAAGCTTTGTTTCCCAATCATCTTATTATTCCAATTATGTTCTATATTTTAAAATTCAGAATGTGAAATTTCAACAAAAGCAAAACCAGAGAAAGTAACTACAAGAATTAAATAAAATGGCCAGGTGTGGTGGCACATGCCTTTAATTACAATGACTTGGTAGGCTGAGGCAGGAAGATCGCAAGTTCAAAGCTAGCCTTAGCAACTTAGCAAGGCCCTAAGCAACTTAGCAAGACCCTTTATCAAAATAAAAAATAAAAAGGGCTGAGGATGTGGCTCAGTGGTTAAGTGCCCCTAGGTTAAATCCCTGGTACTGAAAAAAAATGAAATAAAATGTCATATATAAAATGCTTAGCATTAGAGTTGGCACATGTAGGGAGAGCAATAACAAAAGCTATACTTTATAGGTTCTTCTTAAATAAATTCTACCTGGCGAGAAAAGGAATTCTGTGTCATTAAAATTCCTGTTGGCAAAGTTCCTATTTCTGTGTACTGAAATTTCTCAGCTCAGTCATGTGGGTGAGAACAGGAGAACATGAGGTCTGGCCAGCCCCTCTTTGAGCTGACATCTCGGGAGTCAAGGCTGGCAGCCATGAAACAGGATGACCAGGGGCAGCACTTTACCAAGTGCTAAGTGAAGCTACACTTCATTATTTCATTGGGTTGAAACATACCATTTTATTTGCTCCTTTCAACCCTGCATGGTGTTATTATCCTCCCTTCATAGACAAGGGAACTAAAGCTCTGAGAAATGGATTCTCCCTGCATAAGTGACAGAGTCTGGGTTCAACAGTTTGATTCCTCTCGCTTCAGGGTCAGTGCACTGACTACTTAGTCTTCATTCATTTGCTCATTCATACGTTCACTTGTCTGATTGTACATTCAGCAAATATTTGTTTGGTACCAAGTGTGTACCATGCTCTGTGCTAGATACTTTGGATATAAGACAATGAGATTTCCACCCTTGTGTTCTAGGGCTTGAAACACAGGGAAAGAAGCAGAAACAGTACGTAATAGAGAAATTCACAAACCAGATTCCTAAAGACATACCGTCACAATGAACCAATCCTTGTTCTATCATTCATTCAGTAATCCTTTAAGTATTCAACAAATACTTACTCATGTCTATGAGGGATGGGCGATATGCCAGGTCCTAAAATACGATAAAAAGGAATTTGTCCTATGAGAGCAGGGGAGTAGGAAACAGATTTTCACTAGCAATTCAATGGACCTAAAAATAAACTCGTGGGTTTTTCCTTTTAAAATTCTCTTATTCTAAATGCCTTATTTCATTTAAAATTCCTAAAAATCATCCCACTAGGGCCTTGGAAGTTTTCTTTTTGCTCATCCACCTACACTCAGCTCTTGGCTAAGACCTTTCACATCTATGTCCTAATTTCTCCTTCTCTGTTCCTTCCTCTCCATTGCCCACTGCCACGGCTCCAGATTAGATCCTCACCATCTTCTGCCCAGTTTTCCATTCAATGTACAAAGTGGTCTTTTTGCCTCTGGTCTGAGAGCAGCACTCATTGCCACCCATGCTCCATTCATAACTTCTCTTACACTAGAGGGACCTTCCTAAATCCAGATTTCAACCTGAAACTTCTAACCTCAGATCCCTTAGAAAGCTCCCTTCCTTTCAGGAAAAGTCCAAACCCCTTCTAAATCATCAGCGGCCCCCCGGGCGGAGCTCCTGACCACTTTCCAGCCTCACTTCCCAGTGTGACTCCCAACCTCCTCCACAGCCTCCATGTCCACGTTCTAAGGTCCAGTGACGAATAACAGAAGATGGCTTTGGGAAGCCATTCCCAGCATCCTCCCCGGGACTTGGGGCACCAGCTACTTTCTCCTTTGGCCACCACTGTACATCACACAGTAAATTTGACTACTGATTTTTGAGCTTACCAATTCCAACATCTTGCTAGACCCAGAGACAATGATAATATGTGTTTAAAGAAAACAGATTTGGAGACAGCAGGACCAATTTAATGCTCAATCTGTCATCTGTTTAGTAGAATGATTTAGGGCAAGTTACTTTAGGCCTCTGCCCTTCAATTTCTTCATTTTTATTATGGGGATAATAAACTCCCTTCATTGAATTGTGAGGATCAATGAGACAACGTAGTACAAAAAAAATGTTTTGCATGGCATCTGTTAAATCATAAGTTATTACTAATTGAAGTCATGATTGTTATTATATTAGACATAGCCTAATATATAATGATGAATCTTCCTCCAAACCCTGGGAACTCTCCTTATCTCCACTTGATAACTAAGGCGATTACTTGCCTAAAGTCATACAATTGGAAAACAGCAAAGTTAGGATTTAAACTCATTCCACAAACCACTATGATAGCGCTTACTATGTGTGAAAAGTATTTCCTTGGATACCTCGCTCGCTCGCTCCATCAGGACAGGAAGCTCCTGAGGACAAAGACCTTGTCACATTCGTATTTCACACAGGAAAAGTTCAAGAATGAATGAAAAGATGGCTATCCATGTTTCAGCCAAGGCAGACCGAGGACCACGAAACTCGAGGCCTGAAAGACGTTTGGTCACCGCGGCAACGAAACAAAGGCCACTGGCCCGGCTTCTGCGTCACTTACTCATGGCTTCTATCTGCACGTGGATGAGGTTCTCGATGTCCTCCTGCAGGGTCTGGTGGGCCTTCAAGGGGATGGGCAGGTAGCCATAGTGCTCTCTGTTGCAGAGGTACATCTGGATACCTGAGGGTCCAAGAGAGGGACAAAGTCACCCGGTAAGAAAACACACGTCTTAGCGACAGCTGCGGAAAAGGAGACCGGACTGGGCTGACACTGAGTTTGACACTGAAACTGACCAAGGGGTTGTTTCGGGTACTGCCTGTAGACCTCAAAAATGTTCTTTTATTAAAAAAGCAAAACACAGCATTGGGGGCTCATTAAAAAACCCTGGGCCATTCTTCAGCTCAGAGGAAATTGATTTTTCTCTCTGAGAAAAAGCACACTCATGGTCTGAAATGAACACCGAAGGCATGAAGGGATCAAAAGGGAGGCAAAGAATTCCCATTCCAGAAAGCAGAGTGGAACACTGTAATCCATCGACAGGAAATAACAAGAAAATGAGGAATGAAATCCATATTTGATATGAAAGCAAACAGGAAAATCCTGTAAGGCAGGCAGATTATTAAAGCTAAATCTATGCATACAAAAAGTGAAAAAATAGAAAATAAATTTAAAATTCTCCATGATTCTCCTTGGTTCTATTTCCTCCCTTAGCAGGCATGGATTTGGAGTCAATCGATAGGCATGAAACTTCCAAAAGAAGTTCATAAGGGACGAAAGAGTTCCTGCACTTCGAGTCCTTTTAAAAACGTGCAATGTGACAATCCAGCAATACGTCAGATCCCTTTCCTCCTCAACACTGGTCTTCACAGTCCTAGCTGGTGAATTCTAGGAGCATAAAGCACCTGTGTTCAACCAGACAGACAGGAATCCAGGAATCAAGATGATCCAGCAGTGGATACTCCTGGCTAATTAAAAGATTGTTTAGTTAAAAGGATGAGTCTGCCAAGCTCTGGTCCATGAGCCTAAACTTCTGATTTGTTAATTGCTACAATCATCAATGTTTTCCTAAGAATTATCTGCATAGTGACTTCTCTATTTTGTGTTAATAAAATTCCTACCAGTCAGCTGTATCACCTACCAAGTCAGATGAAGCTGCCTCAAGGCATTAACAGAGAAGAACTGAGAAGAACGGGGCCTTTCTCCTCCACCTTTACTGAATCTGGTTCCAGTCAGGGCTAGTCCACCAAGAACTGTCACTTCTTTTGCTTTCTCCAAGGGAACTCACTAGCTCTGCTGTTTGCCCACATGAATGCTTCTGGGGAACATCAAACCAAAAGTCACCTTCTGTAAATCCTGATCAATTCAGGAAGCAGAAGAAAAAGACTTAATATTTAGGTTGCCTTTCTACCTTAATTAGGCAGACCATTTTACCATCGAACTTTCCAAAGCTTCCGTCAAAAGGGGCTATGATACCTTGCCAAGCTATTCACCAAGTGTCAATGTTCAAGAAAGGCATTTCATACATGTGAGGTCACAAAATATTTACTTCCCATCTCAATTTCTCAGAAAGTTACTGGATGATGTGGAAAGAAGAATAGAGGTAAGTAGAGGAGGAAGACAAGAAGAAGGAGGAGGACTTCAACCCATAAGAAAGAAGACTTCAGACACAACCAGGGGAATCAGTGTACAAGAGAAATGGGTCCCACAGAGATGACTGTGACACCTCTCAGGTTACAGTGTATCGGAGGACTCCAGGAAAGACACATCTTCACAGACATGCAAAAGGGCAACAGCTGATGAATCTGAACATTCTGAGTTTGAGAAAATGAGTGATTAATTTTTTATTATATTAGTAATAATAAAACTAAGGAGAGAGAAAGAGAGAAGCAATTATTCATTTAGATAAAGGACAACTAGCCATAGTCTGCAAATGCCTGAGCTTGAAGTTATGCTCCTGTGATTACAACAACAGAAACACTGGCCAACTAGAATCACATTGAGAGGACAGGAAATGAGAAGGATGTGTTTGCATGTGGAGGGCACAGGACAGCAAAGAGCCAACTCCCTTATCTTCTATAATAGAATCAGTAGAAAATATCTACAGTCAAAAAATAAAGAAGGAGCAACACAAACACATTATTTAGCAACTGGAATAAAGATATTATACTATCAGGTAAAAAGAGCTAAAAGTAGTTATCTTTAGGAAGAAGATAATGGTACAAGGGACTGGGCAGTTTTAAATAAACTGTAGGTAACGATCTGAACTCTTTTAACTGTGTGCATGGATGATTTGATAAAATTATAATTTTCCCAAAAAAATAAAAGGAAGCTTGTTGATAATCAGATAACGTCTATGAAGGAATCTGGTATTCCCAGTGAACGCTGCCTCTGGGGAAGACAATTTTCCCTTTGAAGATGAAAGGCAAATCATATTGGAGGCGAAGGACTTTGCTCTCCTTACAAAGATATTGAACCTTTTCTTGTACACAGATACGACCTTAATAATGCAGAGTGCTATAATTATCTCTATCCTTGGTGATGAAAAATCAGACTCGGGGACTTGACTTGTACAAGGCTACACAGTAAGTCCTTTGTACCAAATTTTCATTCCCGAGGGCCAAAGCCAAGTGCTTTCTACCCACCCAGGATTCACAAGCTCCGTGTTGGAGTTGTTAATCAGGAAGGACTGCTGTCACTACATAAGGGGGCTCTTTTGATCACCACCAGTGATGTTCTGGGAACAGATCTGCTTGCCCATCACCCATGTCATTCTCCTCTTGACCCACAGCAGACATTTGGAAGATGTCTGGCTGGCGCCAGGGATGGCTCCTGTGGCCATGAGACAGAGTCTAGATTGCTGGCCACATGGGAGGTAAACTCTTGACCCTGGCCTGAGCAGCCACACAGGCTTGCCAATGACCTTGCGCTGTCTCCTTAGGCAGGACAGGCAGCCAAGCCCAGCTCACTAAAGCTCTTGGATTGTGGCTCTCACTCATCACCCACATGTGACAATGGCTATAATCTGAGGTGAACGATGTAGGACCAGGGTTTGTGGCTGAACTGTCCTGCCTGGCACAGAAAGACCATTTGCTTCCTTTTGCACACGTATACAATGAAGCTCCAATGCATGGCACGCCAGCGAGGGAGCTTCAGGAGAGTAAGAACCAAAGAGTGCCAATCTCTTACCAGGACTCTTTTGAGGGAGAGGGGAAGTGCCTTGCTTTGGACCCAAGAAAGGAAAAGTCTAGAGACATATTGTGGGTAGCACGTCACTCCCAGGCTCAGTCATGTTGCTCCTGAAAATACTTTAAGATCAGTGAAATATTGCCTCGGAACCACACGATTGTCAGGAATATCTTTCATTTTCCCCAAATGACTGATTTTTTTCTGGCCTCAACTTCTACCCCGTTTGCCTCTGCACCACCAATCTGACCCTCAGCATTCACCACCATCATATCTATTAGTTATACTGTCACATGTAAAGATCTCAACTGGCCAACTCAAACAGTCGAACACAATTCTAGGCACCAAATTAAAATCTGGTGGGTTGCTCCCCTCTCCTTCCTTCACCATCTCTCTTCTCCCCAGTCACCAAACAATTTTGAATTTCCATACTTCCTTTCGACGTCCTGGAAAGGCCTTTGGGATGTTGGACCAATAAAGCATAAACAAGTCCTAGTGAATAGGTCAAGAAAAGGGCAGAATAAAAAATTCCTATCTAACCTGTGTCACTCTTCCAGCCCAACCATCTGGGTATCAGTGGAAGAAATTATATCATGATAATTTAGTGCACATGTCACAATAATGCCCTGTGACGTGGCTATAAAGGAGGTCTCTGTTAGGCAGTGACCATTATGGTAACTGTCAACAGCTCACTTTCTTGGAACATCCCTGCTTCAAGTTCTGGGGCAAAGGAACAGGAAGGCCCTGACTCTGCCTTCTGTCCTGGAAAAGTCAAAGCAAATCACAGACCAAGATGAAAGAAGGAGTTTCCATTAACATGGACACAAGAACCTTCAAGACAACTTCCAGTCTACCCAAGGATTGCTTTTTCCTGACTGAAGGGCTAAAAAATGCATACACTGGGCCAAAGTATCTAAATTGCTCTAGCAATCTGTGGGAAAATCAGCCTTACACATTTTTGCCAAATAGTTTTATTCCTATCAAAGTAGGGGACCAATGAGTGGAACACCTATGGCGTGATGTGTGAATTATAGCTTAAACTCGTATCAACATTTTCCTCTTCCAGCAACTTCCTCAACTACCCAGGTCTTTGCAAAATCTCTTTCATCCTAATTTATATGGCTGCGGTGGATTTATTTCACCATCTTCTTAGTTTCTAAATCCATTTTTGCCAAAAAATAAAAAGTTTCAGTGGCACATTCCTGGCACATTAATAATGGGCCCTGCCTTCTTTCAGGAAGGACTGAATTGTTGTAATAAAGCTTTGCTTCAGTAATGCTAGGTATCTTCCTGTTGAACTGTTCTTGTGAATCATGTCCTCCCAGACTGCAATGTGAAGGTCAAACAAGAAAAATACCCTTCCTTCCTATTGACTTGTCTTTCTCAAAAAGCATACAGATTTTATTCTCTTTTAATACTGAATAATATTCCTTTGTCTATATATACCACATTTTCTTTATCCATTCATCTACTAAAGGGCATCTTGCTTGGTTCCACACTTTAGCTATTGTGAACTGTGCTGCTATAAACATTGATGAGGCTGTGTCCCTGCAGTATGCTGTTTTTAAGTCCTCTGGTTATAGATTGAGGAGTGAGATAGTTGGGTCAAATGGTGGTTCCATTCTCCATTTTCCAAGGATTCTCTATACTGCTTTCCATATTGGCTGTACCAATTTGCAGTCCCACCAGCAATGTATGAGTGTGCCTTTTCCCCCACATCCTCGCCAACCCTAAGTACATGTATGAAGACACGAATGGTGTGACTCTACTTTGTGTACAACCAGAGATATGAAAAATGGTGCTCTCTATGTGTAATATGAATTGTAATGCATTCTGCTGTCATATATAACAAGTGAAAATGTAAAAAATTAAAAAGAAAATAAAGAGCACATAGACTCTCTTGGAAATGCTTTCCCAGTGATTCACAAAATGCTTATTTAGCTTTGCCTCTCCATTGCCTCCAATATCTGTTCTGTCCTTTTCCTAGAGTGACAGAACTGGGGCTCATGACTGCATAGAATACAGATGACATTCTGTGCCTCCCTCACAGCTGGGTGCTGTCCTCCTAAGTTCTGGCTGAGGAGATGTACATGGAAGGCTCTGTTCAGCTCTGGACTGTGCCCTTGGAGAGATGGAGCTTGTCCTCCCTCTCCGTTTCCACGTTGATGGCTGGGGCCTCCACAGTGGTGAGTCATCCTAGATCTTACAAGTAAGATGCCTCATGCAGGGTGGAAAGGCAGTATCAAAGGAGCCTGAGGCCCTGAAAACTTCATGGAACAGAACCACAATAGCAGCTCAGACTTTTTTGAGAAGAAATAAAATTCCATTCTTAGAGTCTGGGAACTCTGCCCGAGTTGTTTAGAGCCTCTATCACAATTTCCCAGTTAATAGAGGAACTCCTATAATTAGCAGTTAGCACCAGAGAGCGCCAGTCATCTTCCCCTGACTCCCAATGCCGTGAGCACTGCCTTCCCCTCAACTCAGCAACCAAGAGTGGGCTCATGGGTGGAGGCCATTCCTGGCTCTTGGTCCTTCATGCTCAGAGGGACAGCAGCATAAGGTTACTGCATGCAATTCACTGCCTCTAACAGTTCCTGAAAAGGACATTTTAATTTATTTTAATTGAAATAAGAGGGTTTTTAACAAGATGCACAAGATAAGGGAGCTAGGCATTTGCAGTGTTTAGTGAAACCAAACACAAACAGTACCTGCTTGTCTGCTGGAGAAGGCAAAGACGATGATGTCATCAAAGGTCCAGGTGTAGTCCTGGTGCGGGGGGTAGAAGGTCAGCCTGTCAGAGGCCTCCTTCCTGAGGTCGATTAGGAAGGTGGAGTGCACCATGGGGACAGGGAAGCAGCCCGTCCTCTTCCATTCTCTAATCTGAAGGTAGTCTGGAGTGCGTTTATAGAAGCCCTGCAGAAAAGCAAATAGGTGGGCTGTCTTTCCCATCATCTGCTAGCATCAAAGAAATCCCCAAAGTTGTCAGAGTCGTCTTATCTTGGCCTAAGAATTTTCAAATGAGCTCAAGAAATGCAGTCTATATGTAAAACAATACTTGAAGGGCCTCCATGTCAGAAATCATTTTTATTCCTGTATATCTCTTGATTTAATAACTTTGTGAAGGTGTATTGTAAGCTGTCTAATGATTGAACATGAAGTGTGGGTATTAAGAGGTGGCAGGGCTCAGCCGTGAAGCACACGGCCTCTCGTGTCAGACTTCTGAGTTTAGCCGCTATGTCTACGGGTGTGGATCAAGTGACTCAAACGTGCTAGGCCTATGTCCCTATGTCTGAAATAGGGAGACGATCTTATCTACTCCATGTGGTTCTCTGTAACAATCAAGTAAAATAGAACTGGAAAGGGTTTAAAATAATGCACGGCATCAAGAAAGCATCAACAAACATTGTCTAGTATTAAAATGAGCTCATCACCTTGCGGCTAATATTTTCAACTAAATATGCATTACTTAGACATACAAAAGTGGGTCTTCTCTCAATGCAGTTACTTTTTTTTTTTTTTTTTTTTGAAATTCTGGCAAAGTTTAGACAGTTCCACATTTTGGGGGATCCACCATTGGAAATTTCCTCCTGTGCAAGTCCACAGGGCAAACAATCTTCTCGCTCTGTGGTTTTGAACACACTGAGGTTGAGAAATGTTCGCCTCATACAGCTTGTTTGCCCTCCAAACTCAACTGTTCATTCATCAGCCACTGAGCACCTGCTCTAATGCAGACGCTGTGGGAAATGGTGGAGACTTGATAAATAAGACAGCCCCAGTCTTGGCCCTTTTGGAGTGCAGAATCGAGGCAAGGAGCCTACAAGCCAATGGCACTGATTGTAACTGGACTACCACGAAAGCTCACGTCTACTCCAAGGAAGATGAAGATGCATGTCAATGAAACGTACTTAAAAGTAAGTGGAAGCTTTGAAAGGCACTTTTAAATATGTTCTAGGTGATGGCAGGCTCAGAAGAATGTGTCAAGTTCCACAAGGCCAGCACTCTAGGAGCACAATACTGTGGAGTACACAAGTTCCTATGCATTAAATAGGATCTTTCTTCTTTTTGTGGTGCTGGGAATCAAACCCAGGGCTTGGGGTCATCTGAACCATCTCCTCGCTGTTTGACCATGGCCCGTGCTTTTGCTCTTTGGGTTTTCCTGACCCTGCAACCTACAAGCCTTCTTCCACAGGATGAAAGGAACAATGGTTCTTCAAAGGGTTAAGGACTAGTGTCAACTATAAAGTTCTAGCCTTCTTAGGAACAATATTCTCAGAGTGAAAGCTTGGAAAATTCATGACAGTGATGAATCAGTGAATGTCCCGGGAGTGAGGATGGTGGGGAAGGAAGCAGAGACAGAAGGAGGATTAATATGCCTCCCACAGAGAACCAGGGGCTATGGCTGTGTCTCCTTTTCCACATAAATTGAATTTTATTGGTAATAATCCCTGTTCATTGGCCAGACAACACCAGAGTCATTTGGTTTTGGATGTTTAAAGGCTCTGGAGACCAGGACCTGCCTTGAGCTTATGAAGTCACTGGCCATTTCTGTTCCTACCCTAGTAGAAGCCTGAATAGGATGCAGAAAGCCAAAAATAGACTGAGGAAAGCTATAATTGCCCTAAGTGGCACGAAATTGGATTTTACTATGCAAAATGAGTGAGCATGTTTCTCCTATTTGCTTTTAATAATTGAAGGGAATAATAGACTGTGGCCACTGGGATAACCTCCTCCCCATCCCCCTAGGAGCTGGTGACAAAGCATAACTCATTAAAAACCACCCTGAAGTGATTCTGCCACATGAAACAGTGCAGATTATTAACTGAGTTGAAGCTAATATTACATTTTCTCCCAAGAAATTAAATTGAACTTCCTGCCTCCCTAAAAGACATATGGATAATAAAAATCACTCAAAATCTCTTAGAACTAGCAGAAATAATTGCAACAAAAAATGACTGCCTCATCTAGCGGTGCACTGGAGGTACCAATTGGTAAATATCCAGGAATTCTGCAAACCAGTTGATGTGCTGGTAGCTTGAAATCCACAAAAAAAACAAAAGCATGATAATCCTCATCTCTCTGTTAACACCTCAGAGAGCAAGCAGCTTTACATATTTTAATAACTGTATCTTTATGACTCTATTTTTATTAATTATGCCATTAAGTGGTTGTACTACAGTTTCATTAACCCTTTCTTTAATAAAACAACATTTAAGGGGCTGGGGATATAGCTCAGTTGGTAGAGTGCTCACCTCACATGCACAAGGCCCTGGGTTCAATCCCCAGTACCACACACACACAAAAAAAATTAAGTCATATGTATGGAAGGGGGAGTATTTAAATCATAAAAATTGGCAAATGTCACCAACTAGAGTTTTCTCCCTGGAAAGCCAGTTATTAAACACTTATCAACACACTGCTGGCCTCTTTCCTCCTCCAAAAGAAAACAAACATAAAAGAAAGACAAAATTTAGCCTTCTATCCAGGAGGACACATTTAACATACATTTTTCCCATCAGCACTTCTTTATTCTACATTGACATATATTGCTTGGATCATCTATATCTCTAATTTATTAACTAAAGAATAATAAGTATAACCACCCATCATTAACCACACCAGAACTCTAGCCTTTGAATATTTTACTACAGAAAAAAAAAGCAATGATGGAAACTCAATTTGTCTTTTTAACTTGAATTTTAGAAAAACAAGATACCTTACCAGTTTTCATCCTTAGATCTCTATAGAAATAAATTTGACAACATATATAGAAGGTCAACAAAATGTTTTCACCCTTTGACTCAGTAACTTTGCTTCTAAGAAGCTATTCTAAGAAAATAATTTTAACCACAGAAAAATTTCTATCCCTCATGATGTTCACTGGAACAGCTAAAAGTTGCCAACAACTTAAACATTGCTCAAACTAAGGGAAAGAAGGAGTAAATTGTAGTACAGCCACTTGATGAGAATAGAGTTATTAAAAACAGACAAGCTTCCATCTCTGTGTTATTGCAGTGGTGGGATGAATATTTATTGTTTCTATGTTTCTGATTGTTGTTTTACTTTTTTCCATTTCTAAGTTTTTCTATTGTGTTCTTATGTTAATTTTGCAATGGGAAATAATTAATTTTAAAAAAAATCCCTGAATTAGGGGAGAGAGAGTGCAAATCCCAGCATGCTCTACTGGTTAATTGGAGGCTTCCGAGGCTAAGCTCTTTGGATATTTTCTTGATGATTATTTAGCACAGGAAGGGCCCATTGGGTTGCTGCGTTAGATCTGGTTTCCCCCCCTTTCCCGAAACCTCTTGCTCTAGTCGCACAATGGTGTTTCAAGGGAGGATACAAGAGACAGGCGAAGGGGCTGCTGTCACCACTGCTGCCTTGGTAAAGCCCACAGCTTTAACTCATTAACCAAAACACTTGCCTGAGGGGTGATTCCACACCAGAAGTTAGAGTACAGGCCCCGGGACTCCAGCATGGGGGCCACGATGGTTTTGTTTTCTGCAATCATCAGGCTGAGGGTCTGTGGGTTTGTCAGGAAATTGTCCACGTCTATGAACTAGGGAAAGAGAAGGATCACGTCAGGTGAAAAGGTACTTTTCAGTAATGGTTCTAGAATAACCCGGCTCATCCGGGCATCATGAGATATGGAATGGGTAGTGAGCCATATGCTCCTCAGTGAAACCCATGGCGGCTGGGTGGCTTTCACTCAGTCAAAATACGTGTAGTCTAATTTCCACGTATTCAGCTCTGCATAAACTGCCGAGCAATGAACGGAAGTTGCCAGACTGGGCCCAGACCCAACTTACACCCAGCTTAGTGGTTTAAGCACAAGATACTAACAGCTCCCAGGCCCTTAAAGAGTCATTCAAAAACTCTTTTAAGTTTTCTGTAGTGTTCTTATGTTGGTTTCACAGTGGGAAAAATTAATTTAAAAAATCCCCAAGTCGGGGTAGGGAGAGTGCCTATCCCAGCATGCCTCTGTGCCACTCTTGGTACAGAGGGGCAGACCTATTTAAATTTTCTACAGTCATGCCAGAATGGCCCCGAACAAATCTACCAATGCTATTTTGATGCTACCAGAGGACTCTTCGTTCTAAGTACATCGTATCAACCCTTGTTTGGGCTAACCAAATAGCCCAGGCTGCTTAGCACAGGTGGGTGTTCACACTGATTTGCATTCTTGGCTGAAGTTCATGTTCACACACATTCACTTACAGAGACAGTGTAGTAGATTCTACCATAAAATATAAATGACCACACTGAATTGTACACTTAAAAATGGCTAAAAGGATAGACTTTGTGTTGTGGATATTTCACCACAATTAAAAAATAAACAGTCAGAAGCATTTATTCTTGTGACAGTCTATTTACTAAAAATTCTACAGTTTGGCATTTGTGTATTTCAATGATGTTTAAACAGGTATATAAGAAATACGGCTGGTGCAACTGGAAAATTCCTATGAAAATTTCTATTTTTGTGCTAAAAGTGTATGTAACAAATTCCTAGGCTGATTTTTGGAGTGATTGAGCATGGACATCCCCTTTAAGACTCACAGTCGTTCATATATGTAATAAAACGATATTGGCTTTGCTTTATTAGTATAATTCCTAATGTTATTCTGGAAAACAGTTGCCCAAAGAACTTGTGGAGAAAAAAAAGGCTGTTGTCAGGGAGAAGGGCTGCAGCTTGAGAGGTTCACTGAAGAGTGATTCCCAATTATCAAGTCCAGCATTTGGACACCTCTCTAAGCCCTAAGGCAAGGGAGGTGACCTCTTCCCGGAGAGAAGGTCCCCAGGAAAGGCCAACAAAATTGGGAGCAACCAAGAAGGAGAACAAAGAAGAGACTCCATTCCCCAATCACTCAGAAACAAAAGGGAATGATTTGGGAGGTGTTCATTCGAATCTCCTTGTATATGATTATTTTCTCTTATTCTGAGAATTCTTCCCAAAAGTTAAGATGATTTCTATTGCTTTGCCTACAGCATTCCTCATGAACTAAAAGATTCAGAGTTTCTTAAGCCTGTTACATGAAAGACTAAAGAGTTCAGGAGTCTTCTTGCTCACTCACTCCCTGGCTGTGCACATCAGGAGAGGGTTTGAGTGAAATCTAGGTATTGCAATATTAAGTTACCAGAATTTCCCTTTCAACTTTTAGTGGGGGATGCAGTGCCCCCCCCCCAAAAGACAGTTTTGATTGTTCCAATGGTCCTAGTTTTTGGACAACTGATTTGAACACATTTTAGATAACAGTTGTCAAGAAATCAGGCATCTGCTTTTACCAGAATGTAGTCTGACCATTTTTCCCTCGCAGTTCGAAGAGCTGCCTGTCGCAATTTCATGACATGAGCAAACCGGGAGCTTGGCCAGTGCTTTGGTCCAATTTCATCAGGATAAGACCTAAAAGAATTATAATAATAGCTTATAATTACTGAGTGCTGAAAACCAGGTTTCGTCCTAAATCTTTATATCTACTAAGTTGTTTAATCTTCCACCGACCCTAGAAGTGCGATATTTTTATAGTTATCATCTCAATATCACAAAGAAACAGGAGCAAAGAGAGATAAAACTAACTGCTTACACAACATCAGAGTTTTTATATGAAATATTTCAGGGAGCTCTAATAAGAGCCATAGAAGGTAAGTCCTGATATTCTCCCCATTTCACAGATAAGGGTACTGGTATAGGTAAGTCACTTATCCACTGTTACAGTTAATAAGGGCACAATAAGAATTCAAACCCAGGCAGCTGAACCCCCAAGTTCATGTTCTTGGGTACTTTTTCCAACCTCCTGCCATCACATAAATTTGGATGTGCTGCCGTGTAGACATGAGTTTGGCAGGAAAACAAAAGGTTGAGTTTATTTGGTGGAATCTCAGTAAATGATTTCATACAGGCTGGCACATCAGTTTATCCCAGGTAAAGTGAGGTCATGGAGCAGACATGTCATGCCCCAGGGATTTCTACCAGCATGCACAGAACAGCCAGGCCAAGACTTCCCGCTGGCCACAGGGCAAGTAAGTGGGTCAGTACCCGTTGGAATCCTTCAGAAAGCTCTCAACTGCTATGGACATGGATGCTGAAAAGTCACAAAGAGTCTGGAACTATACAAATAAATTTAATAAAACTGTGTCTAGCACAGGAGTTCTCCCGAATGTCTTCCCCAATTACTGCTTCTATGAAAATCAGTGGAATTCCTGTTTTCTGAATACATTACCAAGAATAAGGCCTTCGCTAATATAATTCACTCTGATATTGGCATACAATGTGTGTAGTCAAAATCCAGCTACAGAGAACATTACCAGAATGCAAGATGAGCACACAAAGTCTTTCTGTGCAATTTTTAAAAATTAGGCCAAATGCCATTGTAAGAAACCTTAAATGGGTGTTTAAGAATTTTTATAGTGTTCAATCTTCACTTTTAAATTTTGTTTAATATACAAACCATACACTTGGGAGATCTATATTAAATATTGGAGTGACCAGGAGAACAAAGAACAAATTTGTTCTAGAATGACGTTTATTATAGTTGTTATACAAATTTGACTTTCAATAAATAGCATCTTGGGTAGAAATTCAGGCAACTCATTCAGTTCTGTTTGTACAGTTTCTTAAGGTGGAATTGTAGTGGTCTTAGGAGCATTTACAACAGTAGGTTTTAAGTACATTTATTATTGGTCTTATTCACTCACTTATTCATCCAAAAAGTATTAATTTAGTGCCTGACAAGAATATAGCATTGGCAGGGGATAGGGGGATTTAAAATGTTTAGCAGGGGATCTAGCCCCTGCCAAAGACCTTATAATTTTTTTGAAAAAAATATATAAGTTGCATAATTAATTAACAATGCTACTTGCATTGCGTCAAAAAGAATGATGTACAAAATAAGCGATCCATTTGTTGAAGGAAAGCTAGATCTTAATAACTGGAAAGTTAGGAATAGGTTTCTGTAGTAGATGTAATTTAGCATATAAGAGCCAATTACAAAGAAGAATAGACACTTCTAAGACCGATGTCAGCAAGAGTTTGGGAGTTGAACATAAAAGGAACATTCTGGATAAAGTAGAATTTCTTTTGGGAAGAAGCAGAAAACATACTAACTTTATGGACTCTTAAATAGAAAACTCAGCTGTTTGAACTTTATTCTATAGGCACTTGAGATCCACTGAAATCCCCAAAATAGAGAATGAGACAACTCTGTTGTGTTTTAGGAACTTGGTCTGACAGTCTGAATGACTTGGAGACAGAAGCAATTAATCAATTGCTATGGTTAAGATTGGAAATTTTTTAAAAAAGGATTAGAAATAACCTAAATGTCAATCAATAGGGTATTAGCTAAACAATTATGGTATCTCCAAACAATGGATACTATGCAACTAAAAAATGAAGAAGCTCCTTAATTATTATAGTGTAATAATTGCCAAGACATGCTAAGTGAAAAAACTAAGATGTGCTCGAGTATAAGAAGTATATACTCAAAATATCAATAAATAATAGCAATATTTAAAAATACATGCCAATGCAGTAATTTATTTATGAACTAACGAAAACCTGAACTTGGCTGGCAGCTGTGGGGATAAAGAGGAAGAGGGAGTTATGAAGATCTGTCCAAGGAAGAAATGGCAGGTGTTTGTAATTAGGACACAGAGATGAAAGACAATGAAAAATTACATGTGTCCTTAAGATTGGAAACACCAGTGGCTGGAGAACTTGCCCAGGAGGAAGGGCGATGAATTTTCGAGGTTTGCTTTCATTACTCACTGGGGTTCATCCATCGGCCTCCACTCCACGTAGTGATAGAGTCTCTGTACGTTTTTCAACCACTCCCTGAACATTTCGGTGGTATTGTCCACATTGTGATCAGTGGCTGCCCTGCATGAGAAAAGCACAATTTAGTTTAGTTATGTCATCCAAAGAAAGGGGGAAATCAAAAAGACCCCAGACTAACTAAAAGGAGCAAAGCCAGTTCTGGAGGAAAATTAATTATGTATATGAAAATAAATCCCTCATGGTCCAAATTAGACAATGAATTTCTGAAGTGAAAGGTAATGATAAATAGCATCTTTGTGTCATTAGGTCTTTGAACAGGGCTCAGTCAATTACAGAATGACCCTAAGTGGTTGTATTAATAAATAATCGCTTATTTATAATAGAAGCATTTACAATAGAAGCATTTTATGCTTATTTATAGCATGAGCATAAAATGTACTACCCTAGAGCTGTTTAATGAGTCGTCTTAGAAATTTTTCTATTTGTTTTACTTTTAAGTTATCCAACTTTTAACTTCACTAACAATTACCCTCAATTTAAGCAATAATTCAGTTTTGTTTTCATTCCAAGTCAATTTTCAGGTCACATCAAAATATCTCATCTGTACGGTTTTCATGATATAAATGTCAGGAGAAAATCAAAATAGTATTTCCATCTTCTTCTGTCTGCTTTGGATTAAATTTACCATCATGTATACAAAATAATCTTTCAAAAGCCTTTGAATAATGTACAGTAGACTTGTTACTATTCTACCTTAAAATTTAACAAACAGATCACTGGTAAAGGGGCTTAACTCATTTATTAAAACAACAAAAAAATATTTTCAAATTATATCACAAAATTCAAATCCATGTTAGAAGTTCAGCATTAAATAAAACTGGGGCGGGGGGGAGGCAGGAATGGAGGAAGGGAGGGAGGGAAACAGAAAAGGAAGAGTCACAGGAAGATAGAGGTCACTGAGACCTTTAGAAGGCAGAGAAAATGCTCAGATCTTATTGGTAATTCGGGTTCCTTTAGGGAGGGACAGATATCAGGATTAGCGGTGGCAGGCCCCTGGAGAGCAGTGCCCTGATAAGGGCAAGAAGATATGGGAGCAGCGAGGACTTATCCATATATGGCAATGTCAGGAACAGGATTTTGCAAAGCCCAGTCTGCAACAACGTTTCTGCTTTTTCTCCCTTGAGTTTGTACTCCAAAAGAAATTAAAATCCTTAAGAAAATGAATGTCCAGGAATGTTCAAAAGAAAAAAAAATATTAAGCAAAGCACAGAACTCCAAGTATAGGGGATACATTTTTGTAAAATACCAAGTAACTTGAAACTGTAACTTGAGTATAAAGGACAGAAAAATGGTAGCTAGAGATGTGTGACTTGCTTGAAAATCTTACCTAGTAAAGTAAATTTTTAAATTAAAACTAGTCATGTTAGCAACACTCATTAAGAGGTGACTTAGTTGGCCAACTTTGATCTGCATTCAAGTCTCTTCTTGAAATCGGATTGGAACCAGCTGCTCTCATTACAAGGCCCAGGAGGGAGGGAGTCTTACAGAGACCCAGGGCATGGTGCTGTGGATGCTGATGGTGTGGTGGGGTACCAGGTGAGCACCTTTGGACAAAGACAGGGTAGGGAGGAGTACCGAGCAACTGAAAAGGTAGAAAAAGTCCAGAAAGCAATGTGGAGGGACTTGTGATTGGACCAGGAAGCACAGCTTGTCAGCAAGAATCTCATCCACAGCAACGAGCTGCCAATGTCCAGTGTCACAGGCAGCCACGCAGAGCACTGTGAGCATCAAACCCCAGGTCTCACGACATGAAGCAGGTAGAACAATTCAGGAAACGGAGAATTAGCCCAAAGGCATGTTATTCTTCACTCAAAATATTAGGAGTAAGAGTAAATAAAAACAAAACAAAACCTTGACTACCCTGTTAGCCAAAATTTATCAGAATTCTACATTTGTCCTAAATTATTTATAAGCAGCACGTGATAATTTATTTATTGTTCTTGGTGACTGTTTCTTCATTACAAAGGACTTAAATTCTCTCTGCCTTCCCTACATGTTGGTGCATTTCCTAATCCATCTAAAAACGTTGGTCTTGTTAGATGAAATATATTTTCCCGTGCACAGATTAAACAACTCCAAAACCTGCAAAGTATCCACTGTCAACAAACATCCTTGGAAATTAGCTGCTTGGAATATGCATGTGTCTCATTAAAAATAGGAGCACAGATTGAAAACACTCCCTTGATTGAGTTAGAAAATGTCCTCTATGTTTACTTCCCTGAATTGTTAAGATTCTCTTTGTTCTCAAACTTCCGTGGGTATGAGCAGTTCCTCCAGGTGCTGTGGGCAGAAGGGATCCCTACTGGTCTTTGATGTGCAGTATCCAACTCGAGGTCCCAGAGGGGGAAAGGCAGTGTTGGACCACCCCAGACATGAGGAAGACTTGCAGCCTTCACTAAGACTGCTTGACTCCCCTGGCAAAAGGCAAAAAAATCCAGAAATCCAGGCAGATGCTTCTACTGCTGCCTTTCAATCCCTCTGAAAAAACAATGTGTTTCCGCTGGAATACATAATGATGAAAACATGCAGGCTCTGGGCTGTTCAGAGGGTTGGAGAGAGAATCACCCAAGGCCCAGATGCGAGCTCCCTGGGGGAAACAGCAGGATCACATTAAGGGCTTGATATTCAGAGCCTTCCAGAACAGCACAACAATGAGGTGCCTGTCTTGCCACAGACTCTATAAGCAGCTGCTCACAAAAGCTTCTGTGGCTGAGGTGGATTCTTCTACTGAGATAGCAAGCTGGGCACCCACGTGTGTGGACCCCCTGGGAGAAGCTGAGGCACTCTGGCTCCTCCCTCAGCCTGAAAGCTCCATCCAGTGCCCACGAAGAATGAGCTGTCTCGGGTCTGCCATTCTTCTCTGTCAGACCAGGAAAGGGATCCAGAAAGTGAACAGACGTCGCCAATGACTCCTTGAAGCAAATCAATGAAGTGACCATCTGGAGGGATGATCTGCAAGTGATTTACAGTCACTAGTCATACTGGAAAGCCACTGTCTGTGAAAACACAAACATGCCACTGTGGTCTAAGCGTGTCCTCCCAAACTTCATGTCGAAACTGAATCACCAGTTTGATAGTGTTAAGTGCTGGGGCCTTTAGGAGATCATGAGGTCAACCTCAAGGGCAATGCGACCGCTTCTGCTCCTGCCACAAGATGCCATTTATAAGCGTAAGATCAAGCCCTCGCCAGATACCAAACCTGCCAGCACCTTGATCTTGCACTTCTCCACCTCCAAACTGTGGAAAATATATTCTCCTGAGAGGCTAAGATTGCTCAGCCATTGCCTCAAATCTCCCAAGCTGGAGGGGTTCACACTCCACTCCCCTCTCTCTTCCCTGGGTCTCTCTGACTTGGGTTGGGGGCAAGGAGAGCTCAGCTCTTGAACTGTGTTTAGTTTTCTTTGAATCATGTTGGGTTGATATCCTTCAGGGAGAGCCAGGACTGTCCAGCCACTGAACAGTTTCCCTTTTCTAATTTTAGGGGAACTCTGACCTTGATATGGTCTGTCCATCAGCCCCTGCTTGGCTTCTTTGGAGTAGGATCTGGAATAGAAGATCTGCTCCAAATAGGTACATGATGCCAGGGGGAAGTGTGGGCCACCTCTCCCCCTGAGGCTGCTCATCTGCTTCCTCTCTGACCCTCTTCTAGTTCCTGTTTCCCCTTCTTTCTCATCTCTAACTGTGTAAGTTAGCAAGGGCCCATGAGCCCTGGCTCCAAAATTCAATTAGGACAACGGTAAACACATACTAGGAATGTGATCAGTAGCATGTGTGGGTGGCAGATGAAGATCCCAGGCTAACAGGTGCTTTGTCACTTGGCGGGTGGAAGAAAGTGCACAGACACCAGTGAAGAAGCTCATCTTCAGGATGGCACGGTTTTATGGATGACTCTGAGCCAAAGAAATTTGAGATTTTATCTGGCAAAGCCTAAAATCACTGACATTTCTCCTTGTTCCAAAAAGTCAGTTTTCATTCCTACGTCTTGGCTCTTAAACTAATAGCCAACTTTAAATAATTAGAACTGACTCGTTTATTTTTGCCACAAGTCCAGCTGAGGTTGTTAGGGCTAAACCCACATTGGAAAGTGTGGGGAGCCCAGAGACTGAGGACAGGGTGCTCCCGATCACTTCCATCTACACGGAGCCCCAGGGAATGTTCTCGGCTGCCCTGGCTCCCCAGAAAATCTAGACCTCTGGCGTTACCGAACAACAGGACTGTGGTTGACGGGAGGTTGGTAACACCAGACAGCAGTTGGTCTTTGCTGCCTGGGAACCTGGTTCCCCAGAGGCTCAAGGGAATGGTGATGGAATGAACAACAAAGTTAGTCACCGCCTGGACAACTCCCCCCATGACAAGCAAATTGGCTTATGTGAATTTTCCAACTTAAGTCTTCAAACCCTCTTAAAGGCCTCTTGTTTTCATCCAGCAAGAAGACTCATCAGTGTAGAAAAGAAAGAACTTCACCTAAACCTATTCCACATATGGAAACAGTTAGTGAAATGCATTTTCAAGAAAGTTCACACCATCTAGTCCCATCCTGTATCTGATATCTCTCTCTCTCTCTCTCTCTCTCTCTCTCTCTCTCTCTCTCTCTCTCTCTCACACACACACACACACACACACACACACACACCTGCCCAGAAGCAGATGTGACAGGGGACAGGTGTGTTCCACCACTGGGCCGAATACACCCATTAATTGTTGCTCCTTGGTGCCAGGGTAGAGCTCTAGAGATCCAGAACCCATCAGCTGGGTGGAAACTAGACATGGATATGGTTAAAGATGTGAATATGAATTAAGGGTCTGGGATTTCCGTTTGTTCTAAATTATTTATAAGCAACCTGTGATAATTTATTTATTGTTCTTGGCGGCTGAAAGGTAAACACCTTTTCCTAGATCCCACCAAGTGGATCAGTTGCAATTCTTCCTAATGAATGAAAAAAATCAGAAAAACTCGCTTCTCAGAAAAACCTCCTCACCAATAAATTAAATGTTCTCACTCTGGCGACGTCTTTCTTCATGGTGCCCCTTCATCCGGGAAA